TAGATGAACGTTGCAGATAAATGGATGGATTTCATAGTTTACTGGAACGTGTGTTGTGGCCACAGAAGGCTAAATAGAAGTCTGTTTCTGTAAATCTTTTTTTGCTGGATTTCTTCAAAACTACTGCCCTTCCACACACGTTGCTCTTTTTACTCTGTTAATAAGTGTTGCTTTTTTTGGTAACTTTTGTGAAAAATATATAATGAACAGGTAAAAATGAAGTAATTCTCTGTCCATATCTTGGAGGGTGATGGTGATATTGGCATGCATTGGGGGGGGGGTCATACAAGGGGGCATAAATTATCCAACATATGTGCCAGGCAGACTGGAGTCAAGAACAACTGGTGGATTATTTTTCAGGGGTTTCCATTGAAATTTTTGGAAACGGATCTAAATGTGGGAATAGTAAGCCATAGCTTTTCCCACTGCACATTATCCAATACACCTCCAATATCAATCTCCGAAAGAGACTTCAAAGGAAGGAGAGAAAACTGAAAGTCAAGCATGTATGCAAATGACAGTGGACATTCTGCACATTCTGGATGTAACCAAAGCCTCAAATGAACTCAAATTCCCTTAATGCAATCATTGTGCATGGATTTATACTGGACTGTCCACACATCATTCCATTTTCTTCGTTGTTTTGTGATGCTTCCCAATATTACTGCATTATTACTGCCCAGAGGGGCTCCCTTGCACTACGGTACGACAAAAGCCGAACAAAAATAAGCCAGAATGTTTGCGGTATAAAGAGTTACAGGACTTCGGCAGGAAGTTACAGAACAGGCACAAATTGAAAACAAAAGAGCATGTCCGCCCCAAAACTTTTTCAGGCTCAAACAACATTGAACGTGGGATCTTGTATAATAGTCCTGACAGCATCATGAGCACAAATAATTGCAAGCAAAATGAAAAGGACTTCAGGAGGGGCCGTGTGTGCACAGAGTTATAATGCTCGCCCCCATTTCTGCCCCCCCTCAAGATTTTAACTTATGGGGATGAGAACACCTAAATAAGGCTTAGGTTAGTGACCATCACCACATTACATGACTTCCAAAGCTTCATTCATACTCTTTCTTCTTCCCAATGTGTAGGAAACCTCCGAAACCAAACCTCCATCCATGACTTCGTCCTCCTGGGATTCTCAAACCATCCCGAATTGCAAATATTTTTCTTCTTGGCCTTCTCCATCGTTTACACGGTGACCTTGACGGGGAATCTCCTCATCATTCTGGTTGTCATGGCCAACAGCCGTCTCCACACGCCCATGTACTTCCTCCTCGGCCACCTGTCCTTCATTGATCTTTGCTACATGACCGCCACCGTCCCCCAAATGCTGGCAAACTTCCTCCGAGAGTCCAAGACCATCTCCTACGCTGGATGCATGGTCCAAATCTTCTCCCTCATTTCTTGTGTTGGGTCAGAGTGCATCCTCCTAGCGGCCATGGCTTATGACCGATACGTAGCCATTTGTCACCCGCTGCTGTACACGGTCATCATGAATAGGAAAGTCTGCTTTCAAATGGTGGCTGGGTCGTGGACAGGGGGCTTCCTGAACTCCCTTGTACACACTCTCTTGACATCCACCCTGTCATTCTGTGGGCCGAGGGAGATCCGCCATTTTATGTGTGACGTCCCCCCGCTTTTGGAGTTGTCCTGCACGGATACAGCCCTGAATAATATTGTGCTCCACACAGCCAGCATGTTCATTGGGGTTAGCCCTTGCTTCTTCATCATCATCTCCTACGTCTTCATCGCTTTAGCCATCCTCCAGATCCGTTCCACAGAGGGCAGGAGGAAGGCTTTCTCTACATGCACGTCTCATCTTGCAGTGGTCATTATGTTCTTTGGGACTGCTCTCTTTAATTACAACCGGCCCAGTGCAGGCTATTCCTTAGATGTGGACACACTGGTCTCAGCCCTGTATTGCATCGTAACCCCCATGCTAAACCCCATTATATACAGCCTACGGAACCAGGAAGTGAAGCTGGCAGTGAAAAGACTGGCAAGCGCAAAGTGGAACGTCTTCTAAATCAAAGGTGGGCAGATACCAGGCTTACTAGATCTACTATTTTCACTATTTGCTAGAACCCTGAGGTTCCTGATTCAGAAAGCGGAAAGACCCATCCTCAGAGGAGGCTGCCTGGTGTCTCTCTGGATGAGCCCCTGCTCCCTTGGCTTTTCTCCTTCCAACCACGAGGCCTACCTAGAATCAATAACTCATGTAGAAACACTGGGGTTTCCTGTGAGAAGATACTTTCCCATTTAGCTACTATTACTGTGGATATAGCAGGACACTTTAAAAGACAAATAAGTAACTAGGATTGCAGTCCTGTACACTGGGAATAAGCCTCATTCAACTTGGATGGATTTATCTCTGAGTAAACATGTATGCTTGTGCTGTTAAGAGTAGTTTTTTTTGAAGAACACTTTAAATTTCTTCCCTCCCACTTTGAGCACCATGTTCTGCTTGCTGTTGTAATGACAAGCGGTGCCCCCCCCCCCGATCACTTAAGCCAAAGTCTCCTGAAAAATCCACTCTGAGCAAGAGGAACTCTACACTGGATAGGAAGAAGAAGAAGAAGAAGAAGAAGAAGAAGAAGAAGAAGAAGAAGAAGAAGAGTTTGGATTTGATATCCCGCCTTTCACTCCCCTTCAGGAGTCTCAAAGCGGCTAACAATCTCCTTTCCCTTCCTCCCCCACAACAAACACTCTGTGAGGTGAGTGGGGCTGAGAGACTTCAGTGAAGTGTGACTGGCCCAAGGTCACCCAGCAGCTGCATGTGGAGGAGCGGAGACGCGAACCCGGCTCCCCAGATTACGAGACTACCGCTCTTAACCACTACACCACACTGGCTCAGTTGGTGGCAGCGGTTGTTGATATGCCCCGCTTCAAATTGTTCCTGAACCAAGCTCTCATTCATTAAATTGAGGATGTCCATTTATAAAGCAAATTTCCACCCCATTCAGAAAACAAAACAAAACAAAACCCTAGCTAATCCAAAAGATTGATTTAGAGATGTGGTGTTCCCAGTTTGTCTATAACCCTCTTAGGTGCACTGACTTAAGAACATAAGATGAGAGTGCTAGATCTAGTCCAGCATCCTGTACACACAGTGGCCAACCGGATACCCACAGAAAGCCCACAAGTGGGGTAGGAGCACAACAACACTCTCCCCTCCTCTGGTTTCCAGCAACTGGGTCTTTTTCATCTGACCAGGAGGCAGAGCATAGCCATATTGGCTAATGCTCATTGATAGCCTTGTCCTCCATGAATTTGTCCAATCCTCTTTTAATGTCATCCAAGTTGCTCACCATCACTGCCTCCTGTGGGAGCGAGTCCACAGTTTAATTATTATTATTATTATTAATAATAATAATAATAAATAAATAAATAAATAAATAAATTATTCGTTCATTGCTTTATCTTGCCCAAGGCTCCTCAAAGTGACTTACAGCCAACAAACCAAGAAACCCACATAGATATATTAAAATCAAGGGTGGTTGGAGGGGGGGTGCATTTAAAACATCCCACTCATTTCTAAAAGGCCACAAATAGTTGAAGGCCAAAGGTCTGGTTATAGAGCACACTTTTTGCTTGGTGCCTTAACTATGCACTGCACGAAGAAGCATTTTGTCTGTCCTGACAATCTTCCAACATTCAGCTTCATTGGATGGCCCCAGTTTCTAGTGTTATGACAATTAAAGGGGGGGGGGGAACTCTCTATCCACTTTTTCCACCTTTGCTCTGCAAGTGGGGGTGCTGACAGATTTCAGGGCCCGCCCTAACATTAGACAGTGGGGTGTTGTCCTCAGGCAACAGGTGCTGGGTGTGGTTGGGTGGGTTCAATGGGCAGACAAAGGAGCTAGGCCAGTGATTTGTGATGTGCTGTCCCTTGCTCACAGATTCATATCCCCACCTGCTTCATGTAAACACAGCTGAGGAAACAAGTAGGTAAGCAAGTCCCAGGGTCAAATGCAAAATCATCACACAGAGAAGCAACCTGTGCAAAGCAGCAGGTGGAAACTGCTCGTCTATCCCAACGAAATACCATTAGAGGACTGGAATAAGGTAGAGTGGAAATGACACGATGGCCTAAGGGTGCAATCCTAGCCCCACTTACCTGGGAGTAAAGCTCTACTGAATTTAGTGAAACTAGCAGCTTATCCACACTTACCTTTCCAGACACGGTCCATCCTTTAAAGCTCCGTGTCAGAGCATCATTTTTTGGGCTCTGGAGCTTTCCATGCAAAAACCCGCTTTTTAGCAATCAGTCCCAAAGAATCCCAAGAAATGTAGTTTGTTAAAGGTTCTGGGAAGTGTAGCTTTGTGAAGGGTAAACTACAGTTCCCAAGTCTTTAGAGGAAGATGTGTCTGATGTGGATGTGACCTTAGTCAGGATTGCTGCCTTAGCTGCACTATTGCAATGGAGCCTGTACCCAACCCTAAGCAACATGTAGCTGGGATAATCAAAATGTGGTGTAGTGGTTAGAATGCTGAACTAGTTGCTGGGAGAGCAGGGTTCAAATCACTGAGCTCCTTGGAGAAAAAGTGGGATATAAATGTAGTAATAAATAAATATTCCTTCCCTCCTCAACCCAGCACCTTCCCCTTCCCTTGCGGTTTGCCTGGTGTCAAATTTTATACTGTAAGGTGGGTGACAGTGTGTCTTAGTTTACAGAAGATGGCCCTCAGTTTGGAGTGCTGTTAGTTAGAGGACAGCTCTCCTGTCTGAAAGGCTGTCAGGTCCAACACCCACTTGAAAGATAAGTTAAAGTCATAAAAGGGAGGGGGGGTTGCAGTTGCCCACCACGAGATAGCACCTAGACAGAGAAGGCACACTGGTCCCCCGGGGTCAGTCTTTCCCATCACGATGAGATTTGGTATGTCTGTTTAAATTACAGTAGTTATTTCTAAATTTGCATCAAATTAGCACATGCAAATTTTATGCAAATACACATCCTGTTCCAGCATAAGTGGCCGCCTTAAGGACACAACAATAAACAACAACAACGAAAACAAGAAGACACTTGCTCCTCCTAATCTTAGGCGAGCAAATCCTGTGACTCCGCTAGTTGGCCACCAGAAGGAGCAGTGAAACCACGCTTCCTTTTTCCGCTCCTGGCTTTGCAGCTTTTGAAATAGCTTCACGTGATGGCTTGTCGTGTGACCATGCAGCAGGCTCAATATGGCGGCCTCCATAGAGCGCCTAGTGTATAGAGTAGGCGAGGGGCAGCGAACGACTGCTTTGGTCGTTTTTTCTATGGTGCTGCTCCGCTGCCTTCTGGGAGTTCAGGGTCACGCCGTAGCTTGGTAAGTGCTCAAACCAGAGGAGAAGCCTTTCTACCTCTAAGCAACCTGTGGGCGCGGGGGCGAGAGTTTCCGGCTCCCCCCCCCCCGCCGCATTTAGCTAATCTTTAGCTGTGCTTGTACGTGAAGGAAACTCAGGTGATACGAGGGCCGAAGAGATCAAATTGACAATACCCGGGCTGATGTCCCGTTGAACAAGTAACACTGCTTGCAAGTATAAAGGTAGTAGAACAAGGAGAGGATTTTGGAATAGCACCGTATTCCCCGAGTGTTTTTTTGTTTGTTTCAGGGTAGAGATTCTATATGCATACGCATACAAGTCCTTGCAGAGAACTTTTTTAATTTGGGAGAGCCTTAACAAAATGCTTTCATTCGTCTTATCCTGCCACATCAGTACTTCCCCATCTTATCACATTTGTGGATCTGGCGGCTGTGTGCAGGAAGCTCTCCAGTTTTCTCAAACATTCTTCTTTGTAACTAAATTAGTTCTGTTCTAGAACTTGGTGGTAGTTTTGTCAGGCGGAAATGGGGGAGTGAGACCTACTAGGACGGTTGCTTTTCATTTCCTCTGTTCCAGTTGCTTTAACACAGAGATTGAGTGAAGTTTTTCCAGTGGTGGAGAAAACTCTGGGCACCTTAATTTCTGGCTCTTAGGCTGCATTAAAAGACACGTGAGTGGGGGCAGTAGTTTTCTTAAATCCACTGAGTGTTCCTCCATCTTCTTACACAATGTGGGTTTCCTTAGGATCTAGTTTAGCGCAGAACTGCCTACTTACAGATGTTCAGCCCTCAAAGTGTGCTTCCTCATCCAAGCACAAGCCTGATTTTGCCTGTCACCCTTTTGATTTCTGACCTGCTTAGTGGCAGTTGTTTGCAGTCCCTTGAGTCAGAGTTTCTTCTTTGGTCAGCCCCACCCCTGGCCTATTTAGCTCGATGTAAAATGACAGGCATGGGAAAAGAGCAAACTTAGTGTGTTTATTAAAGGTAAAGGGACCCCTGACCATTAGGTCCAGTCATGACCGACTCTGGGGTTGCAGCGCTCATCTCGCTTTATTGGCCGAGGGAGCCGGCGTACAGCTTCCAGGTCATGTGGCCAGCATGACCAAGCCGCTTCCGGCGAACCAGAGCAGCACACGGAAATGCCATTTACCTTCCTGCTGGAGCGGTACCTATTTATCTACTTGCACTTTAATGTGCTTTCAAACTGCTAGATTGGCAGGAGCAGGGACCAAGCAACAGGAGCTCACCCCGTCGCAGGGATTCGAACCGCCAACTTTCTGATCAGCAAGTCCTAGGCTCTGTGGTTTAACCCACAGCGCCACCCGCGTCCCTTAATGTGTTAATTACCTGAGCATTAATGGAACGGCTTTTAATGGCTCATTAGAGCTGCTTGTGGTGAAATAGAGGCGTTGTCTCAGAAAGATCTTCACTCCATGTAGGTGGAGAGGTGGTGTTTCCTAATGGATACCAGTCTTATAACAGATGGCATTTCTTCCGCCCAAATATACTCCAAGTTCTAAATGCCTTCCTCAGTGCATCCTATGATAATTAAAAAAAAAGTAATCTAGAATTTAAGATTTCACAGAATAATAACATTATGAGGCTTGCATAGTTTGGAGGTGATATCTAGCTAGCAGGAGGTCCCACTTTGCAACTTTATTTGTAACGCAATGCTTTTCAGTTAAAGGGGTAGTAACACTGAGGACACCAGCTATCAGTCCATATTTAATTATATGGGTTTTGCATTTCTTGGCCCAGCTTTGTACAGATTTATTAGAAATTTGCTCCAAATAACATTTTGGGGTCAACCTTGTATCCGACATATGTTGTAAGGAAGCAAGGTGGTGCAAACGATTTGACAGGGCAAGCTAGTGAGTCTGAACCTGTATGATTCACATTGGAAACTTGCAAAATTTCAGGAATTCATTGAACGATGACCTATTACCACCGTATCTTCCACCTCAACATGGTCCGCGGCATCACCATCGGTACGTTCGGGACTGTCAAGCTCTCCGACACGGCAACACAACACATGAGTCCTGGCCTAGCAATAACAGCACTGTCTCTCCACTGACCGTCACAAGCATCTTCATCTCTGACATCCCTCCAAAGGGTCAGAATAGTCGACATGTCTATGGCCATCTCACTACAGTGAGGGACCCCCTGAGGACGTTCTCTGTGCTGGAGCCTGGTGGGCCAGGGGGCTGCCGTAAACGCAGCCGAGCAACGGTGGAAGAGACTGCCAGGCATGGCAAGTGCCTTGTGGCCCAGAACGGAGGGTACTTCAACACGAAAACCGGAGAGTGCCTTGGGAATGTTGTGAGCGATGGGCATCTCATCCAGTCCTCCGGAGGGATTCAGAATGCTCATTTTGGCATCCGGAAGGATGGCACTCTGGTCTTTGGGTAAGGGATCAGCAACTCTTCCTTTTAAACCAGGTGTGGGGAGCTGGAAATCACATAGTACCTGTCAGGCCATTGGGCCATCTAGCTTAGCATGGTCAACACTGATTGGCAGTGACTTTCTAGGATTTCTGAAATCCTAGAAAGCAGGGGAGATACCGTGATCACAGACTTGGAGTTTGGAAGGGACTACGAGGGCCATGCAGTTCAACCCCCTGCAATGCAGGAAACTTTCACCCAACGTGGGTCTCGAACCCACGAACCTGAGATTACTAGTCTCATACTCTTCCACCTCAGGTCATGGTGAACTGTGAACTTGGAAGGGACATTGGTGGCCACACTTAGCTCACTTAGCTCAACCCATTCTTCAGGGCTGGGTTTGCAGTGCAGAGTGTACTGCAGCATCCCTGATGGAGAGCCATTCAGCTTCTGCCTCATAGGAGAGCTCTACCACTTCCTGAGATAGCCTGAGCCACTGGCAATTAAAGCAGTATCATACCACAGTCAAGGCTTTCGCCAGAGGATCCTGGAAAGTGTGGTTTATTAAAGGTGCTGAGAGTGGGTCACTATTCCCATCACAGAGCTACAATTCCCAGAGAGGAATTGTCCTTAAAAAACTTTCAAATGTCTCTCCCTCCTTATAACATGGCTCCTCTGTTGTCTTTTCCAGCTACCTCTCTGAGGAGGATGTGTTGGCTAAAGACAACCCCTTTGTGCAGCTTGTGAGTGGGGTGGGTTGGCTCTTGCGAGATGGGGAGGTCTACGTGAATCAGAGTCGGGCGGTGGAATGTGACGAGACGCAGGAAACAGGTAAATGTGGGGAGGGGGCCTGTTCCTTTTGTCTGCCTCATGCACTGGATGGTCAGAAGGGGAGGAGGAACGATAACAGGGGGCGTGTATTGATCTGTCCATAATGGGAAGCACCCACAAGGCTTGGTAGCCACCCAAGACTGGAGAGGAACTGATGTGTCTTGCATCTTTTCCTTCAGTCCACTGCCTTTCTGTGCCCCCCCCCATGCTTTCTGTGCTGTTGGGTGGGTGAAGAGCTATGGGATTCACTTGGTTCCTCTGGTGAGTAAGGCTTGGGCGGGGGAAGAACACGTTCCATGAAGGTCCTGGCATGACATAACCTAGCAAGCTCTAGACCACCCCAGGCTCAGCAGGCTCAAGGCCAAGGCTGTCCATGGCCCTAATGGAAAAATTAAGATATAAGATATAAGATAAGCATTAGGAAAAGGTAATCAAAAAGACAAGTGGTGATTTGTGGTACTGTTTAATTGAATTTGTATGCAACAAAGAAAACCATTTTGCACCTCCTCAAACACACCAGTGACTTGTGGTTAATGGACTGCAGCTAATCGTATTAATTTTTATTTCCTTCCCAGAACCAGATATCTGGTTTTTTTTATGTTCTTTCATTATCATCACCATGCCCATGCTTCAGCGAAACTGAATTCTTGTATTCTCTCTTCAAATGATTCATTACATTTATGTTTCTTGTCTGTATGCTCATGAAAATTAAATACATATGTTTATATGTGGCGAAACAAAAGACCAGAGCTGTGATGGTACCCAGCTTAAAGCAGACAGTATTTAAGAAAACAAAACATGCTTACACCATTCTGCTGTAAGGAGAGGTTTTGCCCTGTGATTTTTTTTATTTTTTTTTTAAAAAAACCATCCTTGTAGCAGAGTGATTATGTTTCTCAGCTATTTGTACTCTGTCTCTCTTTCTCCCCACCCCTTTGTGGTAGGTACGTTTGACAAGTTCATCAATACTGTGTCCGCCAGGACAGCCGTGGGGCATGACAGGCAAGGACAGCTGGTGTTGGCGCACTTTGATGGGCAGACACATACAAGGGGGTAAGTCTGATTAGTTTTTGAAGTCATTCCTCCTAGTGGGGCAGGTGATCCATGCCTCAGATTGAGCTCTGCTTGGAGGGCCTCTTTGTCTCCTTGATGTGTTGTGGGTCAGTTTTGCTTTTTTTATTTAAGTAACAATTCAGGATAGGGACGCGGGTGGCGCTGTGGGTAAAACCTCAGCGCCTAGGACTTGCCGATCGCATGGTCGGCGGTTCGAATCCCCGCAGCGGGGTGCGCTCCCGTCGTTCAGTTCCAGAGCCTGCCAACCTAGCAGTTCGAAAGCACCCCCGGGTGCAAGTAGATAAATAGGGACCGCTTACTAGCGAGAAGGTAAACGGCGTTCCGTGTGCTGCGCTGGCTCGCCAGATGCAGCTTTGTCACGCTGGCCACGTGACCCGGAAGTGTCTGCGGACAGCGCTGGCTCCCGGCCTATAGAGTGAGATGAGCGCACAACCCTAGAGTCTGGCAAGACTGGCCCGTACGCGCAGGGGTACCTTTACCTTTACTTAACTATTCAGGAGAAAAGTTAAATAAGGAATCCAACTGTAGGTGCTAGCATTTAACATGTAGGTGTCTGAGGAATTTCCATTCTATGACTCAGCAAAGAGTGATGAGTTTTGGGCATAACACTAAGCTGTGGTTCAATAAACCATGGTGTAGGGACACTTGGTTCTGGTTTGCTTAGCAAACTAATAATAATAATAATAATAATAATAATAATAATAATAATAATAATAATATATTTATACCCTGCCCATCTGGCTGGGTTTCCCCAGCCACTCTGGGTGGCTTCCAACAAAACACTAAAATTTGCAAACCTTAGTTTATGTTAAGTGCAGTAAACCATGGCTTACAGGCTAAGGCACTGGGGCAGGTTCAGATGATTAAATTAAACCATGGTTTAGTTAACCAGGCCTATATGAAAGAGCCTTCTTTTTTTAATGACCTGAATTGACCCTCATCTTAAAGAAAGCAGAGCCAGGTTTGGAAGGTTGGTTACTGTGGTACATGAATTCTCTCTCACATGAAAATATATGGTCGTCCCCACCAACCCAACCCTCAAGCTGTTATCTTGTCTGTGCTACAGTAATCGCTGGTTCTCTTTTCAGGGCTGCCCTAAGACTTCTCACTGCCTGAGGCAGATGGTGAAGTCTTGTACAGAAGCCTAGCATACAAACAGTTTAATCTTGCATTGACACTGTTAATGTGCCAGAACATTCCACTACACACAAGGACCACAGGCTAGCGTGGCCGGCAACAGAGCATGCCACATGGCTCATCCAGCCCTAACACTTAACTTCCGCTCCCTGCTCTCCAGAATTTGCCTCCTTCCTCCGCCTAAGGATAGGGCCGGCCCTTACTCTTCTTCCGCCTATGCAAGGCATCTTCTCACAGCTATCCCCTTTATCGTTTGCACAGCCTCAGCCTTTGGGATATGGCTGATTTCCTGAAGCAGCAAGGCATCGTCAATGCCATCAACTTGGACGGCGGAGGGTCTGCAACCCTGGTCTTGAATGGAACGCTTGCTAGTTACCCTTCAGATCACTGGTAGGTGCTGTCGCTGTTTGCTAAAGGGGAGCTCGACCCTGTACTCGTGGACAATACAGAAAGAGCCCCCTGCTGTCACACTTCTGGTCCTGAAGTGGCCAGGCTATGTTTGGGGGGTGAGACAGTTTTCTGTGGGTCTGCATCAGTGTCAAATGAAGTTACTACAGCTGAGAAACCTCACTGTTTCTCCCAGCTTTAAAGAAGGGCCAGAATGTGTACTAGGGCTTGGCTTGGCTGCTGTTGTTTTTCTTTTGGTGCAATCAGTATTTCTTTCTCCCCAGCGAACCTTACCCCATGTGGCGCTGCCCTCGGCAGGTTTCGACTATCCTGTGTGTCCACGAACCTGCCTGCCAGCCTCCGGACTGCAGTGGGCATGGGCACTGCGTCCTTGGGGAATGTCAGTGCGATGGAGCTCTCTGGAGAGGACCAGCATGCGATGTCTTGGACTGCGGCCCTTCCAACTGCACGCTGCATGGAATCTGTACAGAAGGCAAGGCCGCATAGGCTGGGGGAGAGGTGTGAGCATGTGGGTCAGGTAGAACAGGTGCCCGGCCTCCAAGTCAGGGCTGCCTATAGAGATGGGGCTCTCAGAAGCACATCGCTAGTAGCAAGTAAAGGTAAAGGTAAAGGTAAAGAGACCCCTGACCATTAGGTCCAGTTGTGGCCGACTCTGGGGTTGTGGCGCTCATCTCGCTTTATTGGCCGAGGGAGCCGGCGTACAGCTTCCGGGTCATGTGGCCAGCATGACTAAGCTGCTTCTGGCGAACCGGAGCAGCGCACGGAAACGCCGTTTACCTTCCCACTGGAGCGGTACCTATTGATCTACTTGCACTTTGATGTGCTTTCGAACTGCTAGGTTGGCAGGAGCAGGGACCGAGCAACGGGAGCTCACCCCGTCATGGGGATTCGAACCGCCGACCTTTTGATCGGCAAGTCCTAGGCTCTGTGGTTTAACCCACAGCTCCACCCGCGTCCCTACAGCACCCTTGATTTGGAGGCTGCCTATAGAATTAGGGTTCTAGAAAGCACATTGCTATTAACAAGTGGGACTCCTGCCTAGACTGCTTCTGGGCAAATTGGGGGTTTTAAAAACCCTTGGATATATAGCAGGGGATGCTTTTTCACACCTCTTTTTCTTTTGGTTAAAGGCAGCCTTGGACTAACCTGTTCTGATTTGTTAGGATGCTGGCTCTACCATTGGGCAGAGTGAGGCAACTTCTTGGTATCCAACATAGGAGCAGTGGTGGCAGTTTCCCACCTACTCCTCCTGAAACACAGAGCTGTGTTTGCCCCCCAGGCTCCCCTTTGCCCCCTAAAGTGGCCTTTGGCTTTTAACTATCTGTTTCCTTTTTGTGTTGGTGGGTTTGCTTGTTTTTAAATAGAACTGTCTTTTAGACTTGTTAATGCTGTTTTAATGTATTTACGTGTTTGTTGCTTTCTTCAAATATTTTCAGTTGCTTTGAGTTGTCACTGAAAAATAAGGTGACTAACCTAATAACAATATTCCCCAAATGTCCTCTGTTTCCCCTTGGCCGTGGCTTATCTGAAAATCCCACGTTCTGTCCTGAATCCCCTCCGTTGCCGGCACTGGTGACTCTATTCCCGGTTGTGCCACAATTTACCTCTCTGTGCCCATGATCTCACTGCTCCAAAATCACATCCATTTCTTCTTTCCCCCTTTATTGCAGAGGGATGTCTTTGTGATGCTGGCTGGAAGAGCCCCAACTGCAGTGAAGGTAGCTGGATTTCCTCCCTAACAATCCTTCCTTTGTAGAGTTGTGTGTTTGTGTGAATATTTATTTATTGCATCAGTTTGTAACTTGGGAAACCAATTGCAAAAGTTAGGGCAGCGTTTGCCAACCTAGTGCCCTCCAGTGGTCTTGGACCGCAAGTTCCATCGGCCCCAGCCATCGTGGGGCAGAGTATAAACTCAAACAAAACAAAACAAACTTTTCACCCTTTGGCCAAATAATAAGCTGAATTGTTACAGTCCTTGAAAATACGCTGCAGTTGATTGAACTGGCAGTAGCTGTTTTTCTCCAGTTTTATTGATTTTATTGCCTTGTTCTTCTTTTATTGCTTTACTTTGTGTTCCTTGCTCCAGGCATTCTTTGGTCAGGATAGAAATTAACTACGGTAAATATATATTTCCAGGGCAACTTACATCGTGATTTACTTTTCTGTTTTGACATTGCTACATGTATTGGGGGGGGCACTTTTGGTGGCCTGCATTGTGGCCACCAAATGCTGAGGTTTTTTTTTATTATTGTGATTTATTCCAAAAGAAGGACGAGCTTATGCAAACTGCAGAAACAACATGGGCTGCATTTTCTGTCCTGGGACAGATGTAGGGGATGGAGAGATCCACAGCTGCCCCCTTATCCAGCTTACTCATGTCCATGCAAGGTCCTTACCATCTGTGTCACCAGGCTAGTGCTTAAATGCAAGGTTGGAATAACTGTGTGTGTGACCCTTCGTAGCAGGGAAAGCCAGCAGGTGTTCTCTGGCTGTTCTTGTTGTTGGACTCCAGATCCCATCAGCCCCAGCAAGTGCGGCTTGTGGCAAGGCATGATGGGAGCTGTAGTCTAGCAACATTTGGAGGCTGCCATGTTGGCCACCCCTGCTTTACAAGGGAGGGGGGCAGCTCACTGGTAGAACATGTGCTTGGAATGCAGAAGGGTCCCAGGTTCAATCCTTGCATTGTATCAATTGTCGGTATATAAATACATCTATAAATAAAAAATCCTGGCGTCTGTGGGGAAGGCTGGGCAAGTCGGCCATTCTGAAAGCATGGAAGCTGCTGCCAATCAGTGCAGACAGTACTGAGCCAATTGAACAAATAGTCTGCTTTGGTATAATTCAGTTATATTGGGGCTTCTCTTGCTCTTGATCTGGAAGCTGCAGGCAATGCAGAGAATGCTGCTGCACAGCTGCCCATGGGACTGACACCCCACCAGCATATAGCACCTCTGCTCAAAGATCTGCACTGGCTTCCTCCTAGGCCAAGTTCAATTAGTTTCTTACTGTTAGTATATAAAGCGCTTAACAGCTTGGAAGCAGTTTACCTGTGAGATCGCTTTGCCCTATATAAGCCCACTTGACTGCTCTGAACTGGCCCCGTTAAAAGTGCCACATAGTATTTGTTCAGCATTTGTAAGAAATCAGCGTTTTAGCATGGCAGAACCTTCGCTTTGGCTCGCACTATTGACATCCGGCAGAGTACTTACAGCGAAGGCACCTTTCTGGCGCCTACTAAAAACATTTTTGTTTAGACAAGCCTACCCACACCTGTGGAATGCTGGCATGTGTATTCATTAGGCTTTTAGCTTATTTCTGAAGGTTTTTAATTGGTTTTTAACTGATAATTTTATTGCTTTATTCTTTTTTTGTAAAGGATTTAAGGTTGTTTTCTTTTTGTAGGATGAAGCGCTGTATATAATTTTTGCAAAGCAAATAAACAGTAAATATATATTCCTCGCCACCCAAAGTCCTGATGGTGTTTGCATGTGGTCTCCTCCCTCCCTCTGTCTCTTCTGCCATAGCCTGTGCTCCTGGTTCCTATGGCGACGGCTGCCTTCAGACGTGCCTCTGCCTCAATGGTGGTGCCTGTGACCCTGTCCACGGAACTTGCAATTGCTCAGCTGGCTACCAAGGCACGCATTGCGAAGAAGGTGAGAGATTTGTTTATTTTAACTTGGCTGTGGTGATAACGTATTTGCTCTACTCCCTTCTTGCTGAGTTAAAGCTTGCTGGTTAAAACAGCACTGTCTGCACCTGGTACTTGTGTCTGTCACTGCTCCCCTCCCAGCCTTTATAATTCCTTAACGTGCTGTGGGGAGGCATGCTTTGGGCTCCAAAGAAATTGGGACAGCCGGAAGACGGGGTATAAGCAGCGAAGAAATGGGCGAGTTAGCTGACAGGAGAGGCTCAGTGGAGCCAGCTAGTGGATGAAGAATGTCCAACCTTTCCACATCTTCTTTGTTTGCATCACAGACTCTACACACAGTGCACTGTTAAACTGTGGAACTCACTGCCACTGGAGGCAGTGAGGACCACCAACATGAATGGATTGGACAAATTCATGGTTATTAGCCCCAATGGCTCTGTTCTGCTTCCACAGTCGGGGTATTCATGCTTCTGAATACCAGGTGCCAGAAACCACAGGAGAAGAGAGTGCTCTTGCACACACGTCCTGTTTTCTGGTTTCCCCACAGGTATCTGGTTAGCCTCTGTAAGAACAGCTTGTTCTGGGCAAAGGCAGAAGGGCTTTGCAAGCCTTGGCAATCAGCTGCTCATCCGTGCCTGAAAACCCTGCTGTAAGACAGAGAGCCAGGCCTGATTCTGACATGTGTTTCTCTGGCCTGCTTGCTGTTGTGTAACCCCCAACGTGTCTTCCCTGTGATTGTTTTCTCAGTCTGCCCCAGCGGACGGTACGGGCCAAACTGCCAGGATGCCTGTCCCTGCCCAAACCAGCGTCCTTGTGATCGGAAGACGGGCAGTTGCAACGTTTCTGCTGAATGCCCCCTGCCTGACGACGTAGTCACAGGTAGGTGGCTCAGGAGCCTCGTGACTCAGGAGGAGACACAGCCTGAGCTTTTTTTCCGGAAGGTTTGGCCCTTGGCCTTTTTGCTTCCTGTTTAAAAGGGTCCTGGAAAGATAGGAAGAGGCCTTATTTTGACTCTGGCTCATTGGCCCACCAATCTCAGTATTGTCTTCCCTGACTGCCAGCTGCTCTCCAGGGCTTTGGGCAGGGATCTCTCTCATGTTGTGGAGGGGGCTGACTAAAAATCAGCCCTCCTGCCAGGGAAATATCTCCTCACTCATACATATATATGAAGCAAAGCTTTAATAGTAGAAAAGTGTAACATGCTGACTGAGAGAAACAAAACATATTGAGGCAAGTGACAGGTAGCCTTTTTTTAACCGACAACCTGAAGAAAGGGGCCAATTCTAAAGTACAGCATAAAAGCCCTGCTCATTAGAGGCCAGGTATTCTATTGATCAAATTAGGCCTCAGTGCTTTTCCTACATCTTAGCCCAGGCATAGGCAACCTTGGCCCTCCAGATGTTTTGAGACTACAATTCCCATCATCCCTGACCACTGGTCCTGTTAGCTAGGGATCATGGGAGTTGTAATCCCAAAACATCTGGAGGTCCAAGGTTGCCTTTGCCTGTCTTAGCCCTACCTGGAGATGCTGGAGGTTGAACCTGGAAGCTTTTGCATGTGAGGCTGTTGCTCTGCCTCAGCCGTGTGGTTCTTCCCTGTGGTGTTATACCTGGGACAGCTCTTTCTCTCCCTCACACCCCGGAGGGCTGCTGCCAGTCAGAATAGCGGTACCGTGCTGAATAGGCCCAAGAGATTTGATGGCTTCATATATCCCAGCTACCCTCTTCTTGGTCTACATTCCAGAGTGCCTGTGGATTTTGGGGTAGCTTTCTTTCTTTCTTTTTTTTAATATAAAAACTCTTTTATACGATAACTAAAACACACACAAAAAACACAAATACACAATTACACACAAATTACAAACATAACCATGAACACATAATTTTCTTGGCAAACATTACAACATCTATTGGTCTTAACACTAAAGACCCAACTTCCCGTCTATTCCATATTTCAGATTCGTATTACTTATTGCCAATACACATTTTCATAATTAAACTTATTCTCAATAAATCTAATTTCTTCTATCTACCTAGCAACTATTACTGAAGTTCCTCGAATGCTGCAACAGAATTTAAACTACTATATTTATTTTTCAGATATTCTTTAAAAACCTCCCATTTAGAAACAAATTCCTGTTTTGATTTATTCTTTATCTTTTCTGATAAACCATCTAATTCGGCATATTCTGTCAGTTTTTGGATCCAATCTTGTATAGAGGGGATTTCATTACTTTTCCATTTTGCTGCGATCAAAACTCTTGCTGCCGCCGTTGCATATAAAAAGATACCCTTCCTCTTTTGTGGAATATCCAAATCTGTTATTCCCAGGAGGTAGTCCTCTGGTTTTTTATTGAAAGAGATCTTTAGCATTTTTTGCAGTTCTGCATGTATACTCTCCCAGAATACCTGTACTTTCCTACATATCCACCACATATGATAGAATGTTCCTGAGTCTCCGCACCTCCAACAATTACTTGACACATTTTTATACATTTTTGAAAGTTTCCATGGTGTTAAATACCATCGATGTTGCATTTTTTGAAAGTTCTCTCTAATCGTGTAACAGTTTGTGAATTTCCAATTGATCTTCCATAAATTTTCCCATTGGGCCATGGTTATTGAATGGCCAAAATCCTGGGACCACCTCACCATTGCCACTGTTACCTCCTCCTCCTTGACTGTCCAGTCAAGGAGGAGTCGGTAAGTTTTGGAAAGAGTTTTTCTTTTAGAATTTACAAGATCAGATTCAAATCAAGAAATTTCTACTGAGAACCCCTTTTGTTTGTCAGATTTAAATTTTTCAAATAACTGATGGTATTGGAACCAGTCTGAAATGTGTACTCTTATTTCCTCATTTTTTTTAATTTTATTTGGTTATCTTCATTTTTTAGAAGTATTTTATATGTTGGCCAGCTTTCCTGAGTATTTTTCCGTTTTACTGCTATGGCTTCTACTGGAGAAGTCCACCACGGGACTTTAGGCTCCATCAGGTCTTTATATTTTTCCCATACAGCAAAGAGTGACTTTCTTATTATATGGTTGGTGAAATTTTTATGAATTTTCGCTTTTCCATATATTAGGTAGGCGTGCCATCCCCAACGGTTGTCGAAACCTTCCAGGTCCAGGAGGTCCGAATCTTATTTATTAATACTCTTTTATGTTTTTCCGCTACATGAGTTTCTTGCAGACAGATTAGATCATATTTTTGCTTAACCAGAATATGTTCCACCTTGTTCCTTTTTGATTTTTCATTTAAAAAAATCTAGTGGTGCAACGTACAAGGGAAGACGACGGATCAAAAAGCTGTAAGAAAGGGGAAATGGGACGATGCCACTGTATAGAAAAGTGGGGTGGGAAGCGGACTTTATTCCTGGTGCGTTTCAGGGGTGCCTCTTTCCCAAGGAGTGTAAACACTGTAAACTGAGGCTTTGAGCCAGGTGAAGTGAAGACCTGCTTGAGTCCCATTGGAAATCTCGTCAATTTCAAGGGTGTTTAAGCTCCAGTTGCATTGGAACCAAAGTTACTATGTCTTGATCTGTGAATGCTTGCTGAAGTTGAGCAGATTACAAATGGGTCGAGTCTGATGGAATGTATGGATTCTTTGAGAAGGAATTCCTTGAAACAAGTTAGGGCACTAGGGGCGTCGTCTCTTTTTTGTCGCCACCCCACCCCCTTACACAGTTGCCATCTGCCTTTGTCTTGAACAAACTGTCCTGCCCATCCCTTTCAGGACAGCAAGAGAAATCTAGACTCTTGATCTGACGCGACAATTAAGCCTTCATGGATCCGTTCCAGTCTATTTGCTGCATTGGAGATTTGCCTTGTCCTTCGTGCTTGGCAATTAAGCATCTAAATGCCTCTCTTCTCTCCCTCTCACAGGGCAGTGCTTGCTGAAGGCCGATGAGAAAGGTGCGCTCCTTGCGTTTACAATGTAAGTTGTGTGCTTTGTGTTTTTGTAGTGTGGTTGTGTGTTGTAATATTTTCTAGCCTCCTGTAATAGAGCTGGTCGCAGAGTCCTAGTCTACAAGGCCCCATCCACCTCTGCATAGTCCAGCCCCTTGCCCAGTGCAGGCAGTATAGATCACCCCCAATAGACAGCTGTCCATCCTTATCAGGACACAAGAAGGGGTCTGCTGGATCAGGCCAGTGGCCCATCTAGACCAGCAACCCTGGTCTCACGGTGGCCAACCCAATGCCTACAGGAAGGCTGCAAGCAGGAACTGAGCACTCTGCACCTGCAAAACCCAGAAAGTGGTATTCAGAAACATTACTCTGGAGGCGGAGCATAGCCACGGCAGCTGGTAGCCTTTGTTAGCCTTTCCCTCCATGAATTTGTCCCATTCTCTTTGAAAGCTATCCAAGTTGTTGGCCATCGTTGCCTCCCCTGGGAGCAAATTCCATAGTTTTTACTATGCAGTGTGTGCCTCCGCTTTGAAGAATCTGCACCATGGGAGATGCTCACCACCTCTCTAGGGAATCGGTCCCATCTGGCCTTGCCATCAGGAAGCTGCTTCTAATGTTCAAGCGCAGTCTCCCCTCCTGCAGCCAAAGGCTATTAGTTCTAGCCTCGTCTGCTGGGACAAGTCTATTCTAGCAAAGTGATTACAAGGATGAAATGGGAATCTCTTGACTTCTATTGTCAGTTCGCAAGCTGGTGTGTTAAGGCACTGTAAACATGCTGATTATTATTTTCATTGGGTACTATTATTATTAATAGTATTTCTATTTTGTTTGTTTTTTACAGTAAGGGATGGTTTATAGGAGTCTTATCTGTGCTGCTTCTGGTTAGCGCCGGGTTCAACATAAAGCACTTTTGCTGCAGCAGCTCCACAGGCTGGCAGAACTATAACGATTACTTCTCCAGGCGTCCCAACAGTTCCCACTATGAACTATTAGGGAAATCAAACAGTTTTCCACTTGCAGGAGGAGAGAATGAAGACTACACAGAAGACACAGAGACCTAACACAGACGCCTGTGATCCTTTGATGTGAGAACCAGCAGGAGGCCCCATCCATCACTCTTGTGTGATGACACACTGTAGCGGAACCTTCCAGAAGGAACTAGTGACTTCCACGTAGAACTTGACTACTGCTCCTCTCATTGGCCTCGCCTAGGGGCAACGGACCTTTTCCCAGTCCAAGGCCCCATATTCCCATCTGGAAACCCCCAGCAGTGAGCAGGGCCTAAGGCGAAAGAGGGCAGAGCAGTTAACCCAAGTTTTACCTTTTTGTGTACTGTAGGCTAGTTTCCACAAACACACCTCTGTATCCTCCATTGCGCTAAGCAAGAGGGAATATCAGAGTTAAAGGACACATTTCAGCTGTCAAAAGAAACATCTGGGGAAGTGTGGGGCTTGGGGAGAGGGGTTGCGCCGTGAGGAGGGTCCTGACGGACAGATAAGAGAAGGATAGATTTGGCCTCCAGGCCTGAGGTTCTCCACCTCGGACCCATCCTTTCCAGAATGAGCCACTGCCCTTCCAGATGTTTTAGGTTGGGGAAAGAAGTCTAGAAGTTGCTGGAGCTGGCCTTGACCTCTCTGCTGCTCCAGTAAAGGACTCCAAATAGAATCCCCTGCGCATAAAAACAACCACCACATTACAGTATGGACTCCAACTCCCATCACTCTCAGCCACCATGGCTGATGGTCACAGATGAGGCAAGTTGTAGCCCAGCAACAGCAAAAGGGCTGGAGGTTCCCTACCTGTGATGTGTCATGAGCCAAAATGGCTCATGTATAACTACCAGTTTTTCCTTGCTGATAACAGGTGGATATAGCCAAAGTGCAGAGTGGGGCTGTTTAAAAGCCTTCTTGCAAACAGCCCTGTGCTGTTTTGCAGAGGCTGCTGCCTTCCTCTCTTTCCCATGCCCCCTTGACAGCCCAGATCCGGCCCAAGCCTGTATGCCTCTGCCCCACTCCCAATTGGTTTGGGATCCAGGCTTGGGCCGGATCCAGGGCTGTCAAGGGGCAGGAGAAGATTCTGGGTACATCTTTACTAATTTCTTTAAGTGGTGGTTGCAGCTGTTGCTGGGAAGACTAATGGGCTGCTTCAAAAATAATGTTAAACCCTAGTTAAAATTAACTGGCTTGATGCAAATGAGCAGTGTGCTGGTTCACAGTGCTCATTACTTGTATTGCTCCAGTCTGTGCCATGCTGGGGGGAGACGTACCAGAGCCTGGTTCAGCATCACATGTTGAGAAAGTGCTAAAAGAATTAATAATGAAAAGGGCTTCACTGTGAGGAATTTTACTTCCAACTCTGGTTATCAGAGTGCTTGACTCTTAACGCCTTAAGTATGATGGCCTAAGTTAGGCCTATAGCATACGATCTTATGACAAGTTTTTTAGTAATATATTTTGTAAGATGTAGCTGCGGGTGGGGTTGCCTGCCGGTAATTTATTTTAAAGCAGAAATTAAGCCTGTCTCGGCCTGAATACATAAATCACTTTTTCTTTCTGTTGCACTTTGCCTCTTCCTTCATAATGCCAGGGGTCTTTGGCAGCCCATGTGAAATGTTGTGCCATATTTTAAATTGTGTGTTTTGTTAGCTTCAAAAGTTGAACAACAATTGCAGCAACCATCCATGTTTGGTGCAGGGATATACTTTTTATACAATAAAGTGATATTTTTTCCTCTTGAGTTATGAATGTTGTCCTTTGACTACAGTGGTGCCTCGCAAGACGAAAAGAATCCGTTCCACGATTCTCTTCATCTAGCGGTTTTTTCGTCTTGTGAAGCAACCCTATTAGCGGCTAAGCGGATTAGCGCTATTAGCAGTTTAGCGGCTATTAAAGGCTTAGCAGCTTAGCTGCTAAAAGGCTATTAGCGGCTTAGAAAAAGGGGGGGGGGAGCAAAAAAAAAATCGCAAGACTAGCAAGACGTTTCGTCTTGCGAAACAAGCCCATAGGGAAAATTCCTTTCGTCTAGCGGGTTTTCCGTCTTGCGAGGCATTCGTCTTGCGGGGCACCACTGTAGCTGCAAGGGGGTGCCAAGACTTGACATTGTTTCCAGATGCATAGTGACAAGAGGCTCGTCCATTTTTACATGGTCCCCAGATACCTTAAAGCCTACATACAAAATTGGAACTCTACAAAGGTTCAAATGCACAAAAATGCTACTTTATTTTAGATCAAAAATTAAAAAACACATCTTACTAAAAACTTCCCTCTTACTATAAATTACAAACCAAAACTCTAGCAATGTAGTTATGTGTTAAGGCCACATTTGAGATACAGTAGTGGAAATATTAATTGTTTCACTGCCTGGTTTATGAGCAATTCCATTTCTATCAGCTTTGCACCTCAGAAGCAAACTATTGCCCAATCATCTGTGGATTCTAAAAAAACACAAACATTTGCAAAATCTGAATTAAAAAAACACTCTAGAACATCCCTGATAATACTCCTTAAAATATCTTTCTTTCTGAAAAAAGAAAGGCAAATTTGTGCTCACAAAGTTTACACTCAGTGTTTATCCTTATCATGGTCATGGCTGATTTTTGTGTGTGATTTTATATGTTTTGCCACTGTATTTGCTGAGAGAATACAGCAAACTGCTGGAGTGTGTGTGTGTGTGTGTGTGTGTAATCCCTTCTGGTTCTCATACAGTCAACAGAAAACTTAGTAAAGAGAACCATAAAATCAAAATTTAGTATTGGGACAGATGAGCGAGGAATAATGAACCCATTTCGGTCTCTCTTTTTGGGGGGAGAGGGAGTAATGTTCAATGTGTACACATTCTTAATGCTAAGAATCAAGAAACTCATCCTAATCCATATGTACAGCAAAATCGCATTTTATACACATTTAACTTGCGTGATTTGAACCTTACGCAGTTGAAAACCAGCCAGTTGAAATCAGACAAGTTGCTTGCACCCATGATGGGAAAGCTTAAAAGCTCCTTTTGCATAAGGTTTTCCTGGCCCAGAAAGAGCTTTTAAGCTCTCATACTTGCTTACTGCATTCTGGGAAGTTCTTTTGGGGGAGTGGTTTGAGTATATGTGTTTTTGCGTATATGCGCCAGCTCCAGACCTTTACCCCTGTGCAGGACGCAATCGTACTGTAATACATAACAAGTTATAGTTGGGTATAACGAGCTCAACTAATATATAGTAAAAAAAAATAGAACGAGATCATCTCTTCGTCAGCATTTCAAAAGTGACATTCTGGAAGAGTATCTAAATGACCACCGCTGCTCTTCATGAGGGGCTGGGCTATTTCTGAGTGACCACTGCCCATCCTTCAACCTCAAGGGGATCAAGGAAGTGTGAAAATGCTGGTGTGTTGGAGCCTGATCCTGAGCAGCTTAGGTCACCCAGTCCTAGAACCTTCCCATTCAGAAAATGTGGATGAGGATATGCCCTGCTTGCTTGAGAAGTGGCTGTTATCAGATCCCTGCATTGATGCCCACTGCATCCAACAGGAAAGAGGGCAACAGACACCCCCCCATAAAATCCAGGCATCAACCTACAGCTTGCCTGCCCCAAATTTCAGGAACTCTGATCAAGCTAGCTGTCCTACCATGGTGAAAAAGGAGATAAGACAGCCAGAACGTAGGAAGGAAAGGAGGACTCCTTCCTGCCCTCCATCCCAATATGAAGAAGTGGGGGGTAATTGACAGGTAAGGGGCTTGTATGCCTAAATGTAGGAGAAGCACATGTGGAAGAGGTGGGTGGTGTTGGCGTTTTGGCTCCCAATCCCTGCAGGCTCTGGCTAATCGCCACTGACCACTTTCACTTCCTGGAATGTCAAATGGAGATCATGGAATGGTCCTGCCTGGGTCCAATAGGAATGGTCCAATGGGGACAGCTGTGCAGCTCCTGGCCATTTTCGATTGCTGAACTCAGAAACAGGAGGCTGGAGCTGATGCACAGCATCGGGATGGGGAGTTTTCAGGGCAACCCTGAGGTAGCAACCATGTTTGCACCCTACTCAACTGGTGATGGAAACTGCTTTTCTGCATTCCTCTGCTGTGGACCTCCCACACCAGGATCTCATTATAGGAAGCTGTGAAGAGGCGTTTCCCAGACGGGGTAAACCGGCAGAGGCACACAGCATCATCGTGGCCCAGGTAGTCTCTCTCGGCCTTCTTTGGGTGCTCGATCAGCCTCAACATGCGCTCTGTAGGGCAGACAAAACCACAGGCTAAAAAAACATCCTTTTATAAATCAAGGATAGTGCCATTCTGCATTTGAGGGATGTGCACATGTGTAAAAATCATCTGCCCAAGAATCTCAGCCAGGGTTGGCGTCAGGATTTTCAAGTTCCCCAGACAATAAATCATCAGGGTCCCTGCCCTCGGGGTGGGGGGCAGAGACATTAATAAAGAGCACCCAGGAATCTTCTGACCAGATGACTCATGCAAGTGAGGCTACATTGCTCTGAAGGTTTTTTTTACCAGCCATATGAAATTAGTCATTGCTTTGTTTGTCACCTGAGGGCAATAACAGAACAGGTTTTAAAAGTAAAAAAGCAAAGGGAATGCAGTGTCCGAGTTGGAAAGTTTTGCTAGCTTCCTTGGACCTCCTTGGTGGGCTCCCTGTGGGCTTTTAGGCAAAGCCGACTGCTCTACTTTCTGCTCCCTGAAGGTGAGAATGATCTCAAGTTTCTAGACTTAGCCACTACGAATGTATGCTCAAAAGCATGAGACTAACACTTAGCACCAATGAAGTCTCCTGCAAGTCCATCCCTATGCACAACTGGATGGCTTTAAAAACGGATTAGACAAATTCATGGAGTGTAAGGCTATCAGTGGCTACCAGCCATGATGACCATGTTCTACCTCCACTCTGAGTACCCAGGACTCATAAGTGGGGAGAGTGCTGCTGCACTCAGGTCCTGTTTGTGGACTGCCCATGGGCACCTGGCAGGCTCCTGTGAGAACAGGATGCAGGACTAGATGGGTCACTGGCCTGATAAAGCAGGAATCTTCTTACGTTCTCATAGGTGCCCCACCTGTCTGATAGGCGATAACACTTCTGCGGGGCACTGGAAACACAAAAGGGGAATGCTCCGTGCTAGAGAATCTGCCTTGCATGCAGGAAGTCCCAGGTTCATTCCCTAGCATCTCTAGGTAGGACAGGGAGAAACTCCCAGTCTGAAAACTTAAGAGTGCTGCTACCAGTCAGTGTAGACAATACTGAACTAGACGAACCAATGGTCTGACTCAGCATAAGGAAGCTTCCTATGTTAGTGCTGTCTTTCCAATGTAGGCGGCAACTACACCACTCTTGACAGCCATCCAGCTTCAACTTAACTACTTTCATCACAGGAGAGCCCCATCACCTTCCGAGGCAGCCGGAAGTGCCATAGATATTTAAGTAGAGCATATGCTTTGCATTCATAGAGGTCCCAGGCTCAGTCCCTGGCAGCTTCTCCAGGTAGGGCAGGGGGAAAACCTCTATCTGAAACGCTGAAGAGCTGCTGCCAGTCAGTGTAGCAATACTGAGCAAGATGGACAAATGACCTGACTCCATGTGAGGCTGTCTCCTATGTTCCTATGCAAGGTTACTTGGCTCGTTCCATATACAGGACTGCCTTCCCAGGGGTCTTCGGACACTACCCCCACCTGCCCATTGGGGTCTTCTGAATACCCACCACTGAAGCCAACGGCTATAATGCAGGCAGCAGGAGACAAGCTTAGCGACGTGGCGAAGTACGGCAAGGAAATCTTCTCTATGACCTGCACACAAGCGAGAGGAAAAGTCCCAAAGTGTTAGACTCTATTGCAAAATGAAGAGGAGATGTTATTTTTGCAGTGTGGAAAAGGCTGCTTATTTTTCATCCCAATAGGAGGAGAAACTTCTCCCTGCAGGCATTTTTGAACAGAAAAATGTCCAAATGAACAAAGGAATGCACCCTCTGTATGTGTGGGCTTGCAATAAATGTTGCAATCTGCTCTAAGATGCAATCGGATTAATGTGCAAGAATGTGCAACTAACAATTGCAGCATCTTGCAGAGGGCACAAAGGGTGGAACCCATTAGGCTGGGCAATTTGACTCTGCAAAACGGAAGAAGCCATCACTTCTGCAGGAAAATCTTAGGCATTTGAGAAAAAGCAAAAGGAAAGAAAAAGGGTGGGGAGAGAGTCAACCCCCCAGATATAAGTTGAGTGGTCTATTGAGAAAATGGAGCAATCCATGGGTTTCTCTGTCCCTCTCCATTTCAGCTGCAGTTGGGGCATCCAATCCTGCTCAAGTCTGGGGGTGGGGAGAGAGGCTGGAAGTTATACAGCGTCCAAATCTGTTGAACTGCAGTGACCTGCTACATCTCGACTTGCTTGGCGCTGCTTTGCTTTTCAGTCAAACTCTATGAGCTAAACAGAACAAGGAGAAGCTCCCTGTAACATTTATGGTGCTAGGGCATGTGGCATTTTTGAGACTAAAGGCAGGGGGCTACAAGTCTCCATGCTTCTCCCACAAAGGAGAAGGGTCATGGCTCAGTGGCAGATCATCTGTTTTACACGTGGAAGGTTCAGAATTCAATCCTTGGTATCCCCAGGAAGGACTGGGAAAGACTCCTGCCTGAAACCTTGGAAAGTCACTGCCAGTCAGTGTAGACAGTAATGGATCAATCATCTGACTCAGTATACGGCAGCTTCCTATATTCACCAAACCACAAACACCTAGAGACTCAGGCAAATAGCCAGAAATTTCTTGTGTATGTGAGTTTTGCATATATAACAAACATCCCCTGCTGCCACAGCCTGAAACTGTATAGCCCAGGAACATATTAAACTACTTTTTGTTGTTTGCTGGTCTTTCTAGCTCAGCACTGTCTACACTGACTGGCAGCAGTTCTCCAGGATCTCAGACTGAGGTTCTCTCTAAGCCCTACCTGGAGATGCTGGGGACTGAATCTGGAATCCTCTGCATGCAAAACAGATGCTCTAACACTGAGCGACAACTCTCATATGATGTCAGGTTTCTGCTTGTCTAGTGGAACAGCTAACAGAGCTAAAATAGACCCATAACAAAGATTAAGGGAAGCGTGCCAGCAGAAGGTGACCCACCACCAAGTCCACGGCTGAGCCAATAACATTAGGCTCATTGGTCACATGCAATTCCAGCAGTCCTGCTGGCAGAACACACAAGATCTCAGACAAGCCAAGATATGAGGCACCTGTTTCTGATGCAGGCTGTAGAAGAGGATCTCCTTCTGCAATCCAAAGCCTGTATAAGCAATCATGCTCCTGTCCCAAGGGCAAAATGCTGCTAGGCTGGGAGGCAGAGGGTTGGGTACCTGAAGGGGAAAGGCAAAAGCATGAGTGACAAGGCAGGTGTGCATCATTTGGAGCTAACCAACCTCCAGTTGAGGGATAGCACAAAATTAATGAAATCTGAACAATTATTTCTTCTGGGGTGTGGAATGGACCGCTTTCACCTCTTTGAAATCTGGAAGCTGCATCCGGAAACCCTTCTAAGCATTTAGTGCAAACTAAGTCTGTCATTTGAATAGCTCTTTTCCACAAAAAATGAGGAAATAGAAACTAGTCCTTTATTTAAAGCCAAAATTCTACAGATTCTTTGTGACCACGGTTTTCTAGATCTCCTGAGCTGCACAGCTAGCCTCGTCCTATATATTCATTTGGCAAATGCCAAGAAGGCACTCAATCTGCTCTTGCTTCTCCCTTGTAAAATTTTCCAGCCTCAGGAAATTTTAACAAGCAACACTACAAAACACACCACATGCTGAAAAGCTTATTGCTCAGCTCATGAGCAGAGGACTGGAGGCTACAGCAAGATATCCTCACCTCGGGACCTGTAGGAGCTGGGAAGCTTAGCCAGTCAATGAGCTCACATTTGTCCTTCATCCAGTCAGAGACCCAGACACTGACACGTCGGTCGTCACTTGCAGCCAACCAGAGATCATCACCTTCAACGCCAAGTTCTAGGTGCTAGAGGACAGGATACCAAAATGACAACGGCTCTTGTTTTACACATCTGTCCTCTGAAACTGCTGGTGCAGGGCATGATGACATACCATTGTAAAGGTAAAGGGACCCCTGACCATTAGGTCCAGTCGTGACTGACTCTGGGGTTGCGGCGCTCATCTCGCTTTATTGGCTGAGGGAGCCGGCGTACAGCTTCCAGGTCATGTGGCCAGCATGACTAAGCCGCTTCTGGAGAACCAGAGCAGTGCTTTCGAACTGCTAGGTTACTTGGAGAACAAATACTTGGAAGGAATGTCTTTCCTGATACCAACTGGCCCATGATTCAAGAGCTGCAAGGGAGGCCCTTTTGTTGCCTTGTTGCTGGATGTAGTAAACTGCACAGTGATGCACAGTAGGATCTTCTCAGCAGTGGCACCCTGTTTATGGAATGCTCTCCCTTCTGACAGCACGGTCATTGTTTATTGTTCAGTGCCAGCTGAATAAATACCTCTTTGCTAGCCTGCTGTGCTGTGCCAACTGGTTTAGGAGTTTGTCATCAAACGTTTTTACATTTCATACTGCAATTTTCCCCCCTGATTTGAACTGAATTGTTGAGTCTTACACATGAATCTTAGTGGTTGAATTATTGCCTGGCCTGGAGTAAGACAAACCAACAGCCCGAGTCTGGATGTAATGGGAAGACAAACCATGGCGGCAACAGCAGGACGGAGAAAGGAGTGCAGCGCCTGGAACCTTTGTTCAGTGAAACCACACATTTGCTCATTCACGCTAAGTCGTATTATGGCTTTGTGTTATGTGCAAACTGGGTCCAAGTGGCTTACAGCACAGATTCAATTAAAAATCAAGTGCTGAACATCCATTGATCCGCCAGTGAGGAAAGGTTGTTCGGACGTCATACAGATTACCGTCTCACCTGCTTTCTTGTGCAGTGGATAACATTGATAGGTGATGATCGGTGGTCAGTCAGGACACGAATGGTCATCCCTGTGCGTGGACTACTGACAGCCATCATCCCATCCTTGCCTCCAGACAAGATGATTTCCCCTAGAGAGTGAACGGAGCACAAAGAAGAGGGGAAAGAGATTCTGGGGTTGCCATCAGGGGTTGGGTGATTTCATCTGCCTTGCCCCACCCTCCAGCCCTAGGAGCCCACAGAAGGGAGCTGCTTAAATGGATACTTGAATTCACCCACTGTGTGTTTACTTAAAAGCTTACGTATGTTAAATGAGCTGCTGATTGTTATTATTAATTTTTAGTGGCACCTGAGCAGTGCTTTTTATTATTTTGACAAAGTAATAATCATAAATAAATAAGAAAAAATGTGCACCCCACCACTGAGACCATTCCTTTGTAACTATCCAACCTCCCCAAAATTTCAGCACCTCTTGCGATGGTTGAACGCCTTTCCATTTTAAGAGTACATATTCTACAAACACTCTCCATATCACCTCAAAATCATTTCTCCTGCATAGTCCCCATCTTACCTTAATGACACATGTTAATTTATCATCAATGAATCAACCCACACCTCTTTATACCATTCTTCCATTTTATATTCTGCTTGCCCCTTCCACTGCCTAACTATAATGCGTGAAGCTGTCAATAAATTTGTGAGCAAGTCCTTCAAAGCCTGTGAACCTTCCACCCCATTGCAAATTGATAATAATGCAGTGCTTTTTGGGGCAAGATTTGATGTTGGCATCTAACAAGGTCCTACCATCTGCGGAGTATCCAAGTGCGGTTACAGCCACTGGGTGGGGGTGCATCTTGAGTTCCATCTCTGTCCGGGAAACGCTGAACACCCGGATGGTGCCGTCGCTGTACCCTGCCACAATATGCTGGCTTTCTTCCCCACTGACAGTGGTGGCCACTGGGCTCCACGCCAGGCAGAGGGAACTCTAGGGGAGGGAGTAAGGAACATATTGGGAATACCCATTGGTTCTTTCAGGCACAACACCACAAATATGAAACTTCTGGGCTAGGAGGTTATGCCATCAAAAGCGTCACTCATCTCTAGTGAATTCTAGGGAAAGAGTAACTGGGTGTTGTGAGACTGCATTTCATCTCGGCAGTTACCTGATTGAGCACTTGAAACTGCACCACCAGCTCCATGCTGGCAAGGGACCAAACTCTCACGCTGCCATCCTCCCCACAGGTAGCACAGTGAGACTCTCCAGGGCTGAAGGCCACCTCGTTAACCTGCAGTGGCAACAGAGAGGATAGAAGAAGAAGAAGAAGAAGAAGAAGAAGAGGAGGAGGAGTTTGGATTTGATATCCCGCTTTATCACTACCCGAAGGAATCTCAAAGCAGCTAACATTCTCCTTTCCCTTCCTCCCCCACAACAAACACTCTGTGAGGTGAGTGGGGCTGAGAGACTTCAGAGAAGTGTGACGAGCCCAAGGTCACCCAGCAGCTGCATGTGAACCCGGTTCCCCAGATTACAAAGCTTTGATAAACTTCCAAGAAGAGTGGTCTCTTTACCATCAAGGAACTGGTTACAAAACCTCTTACCTGGTTCTTGTGCCCACTAATCAGCCGGATACTGGTGTTGTCTGCCCAGCTGACGTACCACAACGTCCCTGCCGTCGTGCCAACAATGCCCATATCCATACAGTCATCGAAGGCGGCACTTACAATGGTTCCATCCAGGGTCATTTCCTGTTCCAAAAGGACTGAGCTAGATCTACAGGGAGGGAAAAGCAGAACAATAGATTACACTCTGCCTGGGCTTCAGAGAAGGGGTGGGGAGCCTTCTTCAATCTGAGGGCCACAATCCCTTCTAGGCATCCTCCCAAGGGCCACATGCCAGTGGTGGGCAAAGCTAGAGGCATGATGTGAATTTTACCCTTGTACAGCAGGCTAGTTACTACACACACTCCAACTCTCCTCTGTGTTCTCCCATCCATATAAGGAAGAGGAATTCTCAGATTTCAAGGACGCATTCCAGGCAGGTACAAACCCTCTGGGTAAAAAGACAGTGGCGGAGCGTTCCAAGGGCCAGAAAGAGGGGCTGGGGCTTATGGGAATTGCAGTCCAGAGCATCTGGAGGGCACCAGGTTAGGCGAGGCAACCCTAGATGCTCTGTTTACAATGAGGCCCATGTAAGAGCCATGTCTATATCCAGCTCTTCAGTCCACACAATGTCAATGTCCACTAGAACTTTGTCATGCAAATTATTAACATGATCCCTAATATTCCTTTGCAGACAAATCAGGAAAGACTCATTACGCCACCTCAGTTAAGCAAAGAAAGATTCTTTTGCCTTGGGAAAAGTCATTTCAAACACAAAATATTCTTCTTTAAAGAGTTTATCAAAGATAACCGCCTAGAAAAAGTGTGAAAGCACTTGCTGGTAAAAATATAAAGGAGCTGCCACTCTCCAAAATCAAGAAATGGCTCATTAATCAAGCTTATCTTTTCTTGATGCTGGCCTGTGATCAGGGAACTGTTGGCTCTCCAGATGCTGATGAACTAAAAAAACCATTAGCTCCAACAACCATGGTCAGTGGACAAGGATGATGGGAGTTGTAGTTCAGCAACACCTCAAGGCTGAAAGGCTCCCCACTTGCCTGTGATCATGGAACTGATTTTTAAAATATGGATTGTAGTTCTCCTCTCCACCCACCCACCCACCCACCCAGTACAGGTTCCTAAGTGGACATCTGAAATATCACCTCTCTCTAGGGCTAAGCAAACCTGAGTCAGATGATGCATTACCTGGCACTGGAACCTTTTACTCTCAGCTCCTGAACCGCTGCCACTGACCACAGCTGAATTCTTTTGGTGTTGCTGCCGCTGACTAGCCTGTCTCTGTGACACTGCAGCACCCCTAGACAAGTCAAGCGTTTATTCTGGTTAATGGCTGGCTTTCCTCCTCTGGTGATGTCAGCACCATAGAGACATCCCTTCCAGAGACCTTTGACTATCCAAAGCGGAGCATTGAGGGTACAAACCACAAGACTCTTTTCTTCCAGCCTTCGCTACTGCAGCTCCCACAGCCAATGACACAAACAACTTTGAAAAATCAGCAGCAGCTTGCCAGGGCGGCTGCAGGAGCTACAGCAGTGAGGGTTAAGGGGTGCTTTATGGAAAAAAATGACACAGACAACATAAAAAACGTCTTAAACCCAGCCACAATCAATTCTAGCATCTTGAGAATCAAAACTGAGCTGGACCAAGGTGCTAAGACAAAGCCAGAACATTTCTCCAAGTAGCTTAGTACAGTCCGCACTGACTGCCAAGGTTTCAGATAGGGCACATTCCCAGCTGTATCTGAAGATGCCAGGGATTGACCAGAGACCTTCTGCATGTGAAGGAGATGCTCTGCCACTGAGCCATGCCCCTCCCCTGCTTCTCCTGAAAGCTTGGTTGTGTGAAGACAGCTGCCCAAAGACTCACCAATCTCCCCTTCAACAGCTTCCCATGTCATGAAACAACGATTCGTCTGCATGTCCCACGCACAGATCTGTCCCGTGCTGGTCCCAGTGTACAGAAGGCAGCCGGCACTGTAGCACAATGAGGTCAGTTCCACTGGACCAATTGCATCAGGGACAGGGACTCTGTGAACCTGAAGTCAGAAGAAAAGTAGTGCCTCGGGAGCTGTTTATGTTCCCCCCCCCCCCCCGCTGTCAGCCCTGAGGCTGAACTCCTAACCTTTCAACTCTACTCCTTTTCTGGGTCTCAAAAACATGGGTAGGGCACCTGTTGCTGCCCAAGGGCCAGATTCTCTTGTGGGTAAACATCTGGGGACCACATGTCATGAAGGGCCTGAGGCAAAAGTAGGTGGAGCAGCTATCCCAAACCTTGCAGTAGACTACTTTCTGCACACATTCATTCACACACACACACACACCCTTTCTATCCTCCATCTAGGGAAGCAAGAGGCATTATCAGAGTTCAAGGACACATTCCAGTCAGTGAAGGATGTGGGCTTTGTAGGGTTTGTGTGGTCAGGGGAGAGTCCTGAGGGCCATATTAGGAAGGCCACATTTGGTGTCCTTGCCTGAGGTGCCCCACTGTCAGGATGCTGTCAGCGGTTCCCAGCTGGTTGCCCAGGAAAATATAAAGACAAGGAAAAGTTTCTTACAGCTCTTTTTTATTTCAATCTTTACAGAGAGAGGCTATAGAACAAAGCCTCTTGGATAATGGTGCTGTCCCGAGTGAATCTCCACCCCCCCCATCTCTCCCACTTCCTCATTTGTCATCCTCCTTGAGCTCTTTGCTCTCCTACTTTTAAGGCTCGCCGGGTTCTGGGAGATGGAGGGTCTGGAATGCTTTCTAATGGCAACGTGTCAGCCAGGTTTTGCTCTGGTTCTCCCAGGATTTCCCAACTTCTCCCCTCATCTGCCTCTGAGCTGCGACCTCCCTCAAACTCCTGTTGTAAATCTATACTGTCTTCCTCTCCTCCTCCCTGAAAGGGTCAGGATTAGTGGGGGGGACAGTCTCCACCATTCCTCCTCTGCCCAGTCCCTGACACCCACCCCTGCTGTGAAACACCAGAGTGTGATGCAGGTGAAGTACCTTGAGGCTAATGTCAGCTCCCTGTTGCTCCGTTAGCCAGAAGGTCACTGCTCCCTTCCCCACGCAGGCAAGGTGTCCCACAGAGAGCGGACTAAAAGCGATTTCGTGGACTGGCTCAGAGACGCGAGTGGATGACATCAGCTCGTAAGTGTGGACATTCCATAAGGCAATGACTCTGTCAATGTAGTCCCCTGGGAACCACAGAGTACGCATTTCAGTGTGCAAAAACACATCAAAATGAACAAACCCCTGAACAATAAAAGCCAAGATGCTGTTCAACCATCTCTCCCAGACCCACCCTAGCCTGGGGAAGAGAAGATTGACAGCTGATATGACTGCCATCTTCCAATAACTTTAGGGCTGTCACATGAAAGATGGGGCAAGCTTGCTTTCAGCTGCTCCAGGGGGTTGGACCTCAACCAATGGATTCTAATTACAAAAAAGGAGATTCTAACTAAACATCAGGAATAACTTTCTGAGGGTAAGAGCTGCTTGACAGTGGAATGGGCTACCTTGGAAGTAGGTGGACACACCTTCATTGGAGTTTTTTAAAGTGAGGCTGGATGGCCATCTGTCAGGGAATGTTTAGCTGTGATTCCTGGGTTCCAGAGTTGGACTAGATGCCCCTTGGGATCCCTTCCAAACCTACAATTCTATACCTGGAGAGTCCAAGGATTGAACCTGGGACCTTCTGCATGCAAGGCAAGGAACCTGGGACCTTCTGCATGCAGCTGTGCTGTGGCCCCTTTCCATTTCTGGCCTTGCTTTAAGGTGCCACAGTAATTGTGGCAGCAGCTTGCTGCAGATTAAGTCATCTGCAGTGTGCAAATCCAGTATTTCTATAAACATGATTAACGGGCCAATTTTATTTCAGTCTCATGTAGGAGATTTTCCTTTTCCTCTGGGAGAAAAATTCTAGGTCTTTCAACACGAAAAGCTCTCCCAATGCCCTGTGTGCTCTTCTCTGCTTATGCCCACCTAGAGTAGCAAGGAGGCAGTCATCTCGAGAGTATGCCATGGCTTGGACTTGGGTCTCGTGATGGAACAGAACCTTTTGGCATGATCCGTCCTGGACATTCCAGATGCGAATTTGGCAGCGGGACTCTCCACGACCCTGACCAGAGGCAGAAGCAAGGGCCTGCGGGGATATTCATTCATTCGTTTTATTAGTTAGCACTTTTCTTATCCTGCCCTTCTACTGACCTAGAGTGCAATCTGGGCAGCCAACAATACAAATCACTAAAGCATCAGCAGAGCAAAGTGGCAGCCTGCTTTGTGTCAGGGGCATGAACAAATACCCAAATGGCAGACCAAAAGCTAAACACAGCCTAAGGCTCAGCGAAATGCTTGGCAAGCACATTCTTCCTCCTCCCGTCAGTGAGGAGAAAAGGGAGCAGAACATTCATAGCCCACTGGCTGTTCAGAAGCGCTGTGCCTGTCACCAGAAGTACCCACTGCATTGGAAGGAAAGCAGGTGGTTTGTGCTAGTCAGACCACCCAGATATTCTTAATGGAAACAGGAATGTTTGTACCTGAGCATCATGGCTAACAGCTAATGTTGAAATCTCTTCAGGGTGACCAAGCCAATGCTTCTGGAATCCAGAGTGCAGGTCTTCGACAATGAGCAGACAGCCACAGCTGTAGGCAAAGAAACCTAAGGAGAGAGAAGAGATTGCATTCAGTGCTTGGAATTCTGCATGCAAAGGATGGGCAAAGCCACAAACCACCAAATGCAGTCAAGTTGGAAGTAGGAGCCTGTCTGGATCCACCATGTGAAAAAGCAAGCACCCTCTGAGTGTCCGCTGCCTGGAAGGCTTTTACCTTCCAGTATCTCACTCAGCCAATTATTGTGTCTCCCACGCTTCCAGAGAGTAATAAAATTATAGAGTTGGGAGGGACCACGAGGGATGTCTAGTCTAAACTCCTGCGATGCAGGACTCTTTTGCCCAACATGGGGCTCAGACCCACGACCCTGAGATTAAGAGCCTCGTGCTCCACCAACTGAGCTAGAGGAGATAAGCCAAGGGAGGTAAAAGAAGGAAGACATCTGCTGCTGAGAGACCTCTCCTTCTCTATCAACATTGACTTCAAGGCAAACCCCTTCCGCTCTCCTTGGATGTCAAGAGACAGCTTTCACAACAGAGCCTCGCTAACGGGATGAGCAACTAGACTCTAAGACCAACTGATTTCAGAGGGCTTTGCTCTCCAGCCCTAAACATACTACATAATTTCAATAGAACTGATTTTCTTGTAATGCATTTCTGACAAAGATGCCAGCTGGTTTGGTCATCCAGCTGAAGGTTTGGGTACAGAAGATTTACAGATTTTGGAATCTCAATTCGCAAACGCAGACTATACCTGTATCTGGATTCCAGACCATATTTCCCCGGCCATTCCCATTGTAGCCAATGACTGCTTTTAGTTTCAGGCCCTCGTTACTAGTTAGAGCAGAGGAGAATACCTAGAAGACAAAGACGCACAGCTTCAGCGTAACTTGAGAAGAGATTCCAGACATGTCTCTCACACTGCCTCAAGAAAACTTGACCATGTGCAAAAGGGGCTCTCAGAAGCACTGAGACTCTTATTTTGCTCAGAAGCCATTTCATCAAGTCTTGAGACCAGACCAGTATCGCTCTGAACACCATCTGCTGGGATTTTCAAATGGGGGGAATCCTGTTGAACTGGGGTCTTGCTTGTAGACTTCCCATGGGCATATTGCTGACCACTGTGAGAACAGGATGCTGACCCTAGATAGGCCTTTGGTATGATTCAACAGGATTTTTATGTTCACACCAGGCCATTTCTTACCTTCTGGGGTGCCGATGTTTTGAAACGAGGGGTAAAGTGCCTGTAGCAGTCTGGGTGGGTGTTGTTTTGGGGTTTGGATCCTTTGCTTTCCTTTCTGCTTTCTAGCACGCAGGAGAGAACAATTGGAAAGTATCTTTTAGCACAGAGCTTATGACAGCATTATTTAAGAGCTATTGTTATACAGAATTTTAGCATGTTCCCCAATAAATTATTATTTGCGAGCTGTGAAAATTGGTTTTAATACTTTGCAAACTTGGGAAACGGATGAAGCATACAATCAAACTGGATTTAGTAACATACATATGGATAAAAAGCAAGGATCTGCTATCTTGAGAAGAAGAAAAATTTGCAAAGCCCCTGTACATGTTGACTTACCATTCCCTGCATGGCTATAGGGTCTTGGACAAGGCTGAATGACTTCAGGTTTCACAGCCAGAGAGTCTTCACTAGGACAGTGCCCTTCAATGCAAGAACTAACCGGACTTTATCCTCATTAACAGCCTCTCTGTAGCTGCCTTTCTGATATGCTTCCTTCTCTTCTTCAGATTCAGAAGTATCTAAAAGAGAGGAAACAGGGGAAAGTGACTGAAAGAAGAGCAACAGCCCCTTGTTGTACATCAGCTTCTGGAGCTCAAGTATAGTATTGGAACTGAAACACTTTAGCTTCACTTCTTTCATTTAGGTGCTCCAAAATACAAAGCCCCCTGAGAACCAAGCCTGGAACAGAGACCAGGCCAGTTCTGCAGGGCAAGTCCCATGAATTTTAACTTGCACCAAGTGTGCTAAAGATGAAAGTGCCAGAAAGCAATGGCTACTTCCAGCCTTCTGCCTGAACAGAGAAGGAATTAGATTGATGTTTTTTCATCCAGTTTGGTTAGAGTGCTGTTCACAGCAAGCGGTAAGGGGGAGGGTCATATCTCAGTGGTCAAGAATCTACTTTGCATGCAGAAGGTCATAGGTTCAGTTCCCAGCAGCTTCAGGTAGGGCTGGAAATGCCCCCTGCCCTGAAACCTTGGAGAATCGCTGTCTGTCAGTGCCTACAATACGGAACTAGATGGTATGACTGGTAAGGCAGTGTCCTGTATTTGGATAACTTTTCAGTGTTTGTTTTATGGGATGCAATTGATAATCCTTACCCCAAACAAATGGAATGTTCACCTAGGTCTACTCAGAGTAAAAGGTAAAGGTACCCCTGCCCATACGGGCCAGTCTTGACAGACTCTAGGGTTGTGCGCCCATCTCACTCTAGAGGCCGGGGGCCAGCGCTGTCCGGAGACACTTCCGGGTCACGTGGCCAGCGTGACATCACTGCTCTGGCGAGCCAGAGCTGCACACGGAAACGCCGTTTACCTTCCCGCTAATAAGCGGTCCCTATTTATCTACTTGCACCCGGGAGTGCTTTCGAACTGCTAGGTTGGCAGGCGCTGGGACCGAACAACGGGAGTGCACCCCGCCGCGGGGATTCGAACCGCCGACCTTTCGATCGGCAAGTCCTAGGCGCTGAGGCTTTTACCCACAGCGCCACCCGCGTCCCGTACTCAGAGTAGACTACTTGAAATTAATGACATTACTAACTTCGACTTATTAATAATAGTAAAAGTTAGCTGGATACAACCCACTTTGATTAAGCATGGAAGGGAATGAAAATAGCAAGTGGCAGACAACATTGGGGATGGGGTTCAGGGCGCCTGGAGGATTTTAAGGGGCTGACAAAGATTTGCTTCATTTGGAGTGCTCTCTGCTCACCGCAATGCCCCAGTGGATGAATGGAGCTGAGCTCCAGACAAGGTGGGGACACAATGGTTGGCCGAGGAACCACCTGGCGGGGGATATCATTAGCCCCTGGCGTCAAATAATGTGACCTTTCCAGATTGGCTTCTGTGGATAAAGAACAGAAAAAGGGGGGGGGGAGAATGAGAGGCAGGGTGGTTTAATGGTTAAAGTGCTCAACTGGGACCAGGGAGATCCAGGTAAAACATTCCAGTCATGAAGTTTACTGTGTGACCTTGGACCAATCATTCTCCTGTCAGCCTAGCCTACATCCCAGGGTTGAGAGGATATAAAGGAGTGGGGGAAAGGTTAAGATACAAATATAATGAACAGAAGCAACACCTTTGTCACCTCTTTTGATGGTTGTAGTTGTCAACAGCTCTAATATCTGTTAGGGTTATTCTGAAAATGGTTATGTCCCAATTTTTATTTTTTAACCCCCCCCCCCGTCAAAATAGGAAACTTCCTGAATTTTAAAGGTCATAGTTATTAGCCCAAACCATTTTTACTGGTCCCTCTGCCCCATATATCAGGCATTTGGTCCATAAAAGGAAATAGCCTTAACCCTCCCTCCCTGCTCTGCTCACCTGGAAAATTTCTCTACTTGCCAAAGACAACCAGGAAAATGTCTGTCTACAAATCTGTGTCAAAGACATACACAGACAGTAATAGATGCAATGGCAGAGCTCTTTACTGTACTCTTTACTGTACTAATGAACACCCAGTCCAAACCCCCGATGATCTCTCCCAGCAGCTTCATGTAGATGTTGAAAAGTATGGGGGAGAGGACAGAACCCTGAGGCACCCCACAAGTGAGGGCCCAGGGGTCTGAACACTCATCCCCCACCACCACTTTCTGGGCACGGCCCAGGAGGAAGGAGCGGAACCACTGTATAACAGTGCCCCTAGCTCCCAGCCCCTCTAGACGGGGTTAGATGTTATGGTTGCTGGTGTCAAAAGCCGCTGAGAGATGCAGCAGAACTAGGAAACAGCTCTCGCCTTTGTCCCTAGCCTGCTGGAGATCATCGACCAGTGCGACCAAGGCAGTTTCAGTCCCGTGATGAGGCCTGAATCCTGGACTGGAAGGGATCCAAATGGTCCGCTTCTTCCAGGCATGCCTGGAGTTGTTCAGCAACCACTCGCTCAATCACCCAGCGAAGTAATGATAGCTATTTCATTGTAAGACAGCTGTGGGATAGCATAACTCAGCAACAAATGCAGACTTACCAACTCTGTTAGAATCTGAGGACTCGGAGGAATCGATTCTGGAATGGTAACAAGTCCAGAGTTTAAAAGACGGGAAAATGAAAATGCAGATGTAAATATGCAGGCACCTAACTATCATATTTCCAAAGACAATTGCTTTAGTGAGGAAACATTGGGCTCTTACTCATCCTTGAAGGACTCCTCTGCAAACACACCTAGGAAATCCCAGAGGAAGATGGCATCTCCAACACTGATGACTTGCCTTTGGTCAGGAGTGAAGCTCACCTGCTGTATTGGCTCAGAATGGCCAATAAACACCTGGAGAAAGAAAAGCAAAAGCAGATTGTCCTTTGTCAGCCACGGCCTCTTGGAACTGCATTGCAGAGCATGTAAAGACAGGGGGATCCAAATTATTATAGTTATACCATGCAGACTAGTGGTTAGAGTGTTGGACTAGGATCAGGGGAGAGCAGAGTTGAAATCTCCAGTCAAACATGAACTCCTCTGGTTGACTTAGTATTTCAATATTTCATTTTCAGGGGTGTTTACAATGGCAGCTTCAGTAAATATATTATTGCATATATTTTTGGCAGCTCTATCCTTTTGTTGTTGTTAGCAATCTTGATTAGATGTAATTATTTCCAAACAGTAAGTGAAATGAATAAATGAGAACTTATATGCTGTGGGCTCAAATCCTAAGCATGCACACTAGATAATATGTCACACTGAACATGGTGGGACTTACTCCTAAGTAAACATGCATGTGACTGTGCTACAGAGCGACGGCACTGCAAGCCACTAAAAAGATAGATGCAAATTTTAATCATCACAGAAGACAAGCCAACTAATTTTTCTATCCAAATCACACCTGGTATGTTCTTTAATTAAATTTGCACCCCATCTCAGATCATTCAAAATCACTTCCTTTTCAATTGATTTATACTACGTTTTTCTAGAGTCTGCTCCAAATCAATTCAATTCCCCTCCAATTATCCCCACTAATTTACTCCCCAAATCATCTCTAGAGAAAGTATCCTATCTTAATTTATTCCCTCAAATTAATTTCTTAATCAATGTATCCACTGTATTCAGAAACATAACATGCAGAATGAAGTGGGTTTTTTCCTCAACAACTGACCATTGCAATATATTCTTATATCCTTTATAGGTTTGCTTCAGGATTCCAGTCAACCATTCTATTCTCTCCTCACAATTTCCCCTTTTTTCCTTTTCCAAGTGAGGTTCAACATCCAATGTCTGCTGCACATTTTCACCTCTCCTTAATCAGTTTCAGGGAGTTTTGCACCTCTTGGGTGTTGTCGTTGTTCAGCGAAAGATATTCCCCCAAGCACAACGATGGTTCTCCCCCGTTTGTTTCTCTGTGGCCCTGTTCTGGCTCCATTTCATCACTTGAATGCTCTGCTATGCTGTTCACTGTACAATCTAGCCTGAACACTGACAACTGGAGGGGAAAAGTCTGCCCTGTTGTTGAGTATAGTACCTGAGAGTTGACATCAAATCTCATGCCATAATCCCACACCTTGAGGACCCTATCGCCAGCTGTCAAAAGAAACCGGGCATCGGAGCTGAAGGCCAATGAAGAACAAGACTGCTTGTGCACTTGTGAGACCTGCAATCAAGATAAACCACCCCATCTGTTTCCACCAAAAAGACAAATACACTGAGAACAGACACAAAGAAAAGAATGTTTGTTAAAGAGTTAGGAAGTAATCAAATAAGCGGAGTTAACAACCCTGCGAAGAGGTTTATATAAAGGTGAACCGTATCTAGTGTCAACATTTCAATGCTTTAATCTTCTAGCTACTGCCCCCCACTATTACGGTCCCCATGGAAAACTGGGTGGGGTCCTGGGTAGCATTGGCAATAGATGCTACCATTTCAGAAATCTTTTGTGTGTGTTTTTGGACAGAGTCATTTTGTGGTTGCTCTACCAAGCCATCCAACCAAATTTAGCAGAGAAGACTGCCCTAAGGAAGAGTGATCGCAGGCTCCTGAGTAGGTTTTAGGTCAAAATCTGAGCAGTGCTCTGCGACATCTATGAGAAGCGCATCTCCATCAGTCGGGATGACAGATCCACTCAGGAGGGCTGCTATAAAGGCACCCACTGCTGGGACTTTAAGGTCCTCTATGGCTTGCTGATCAAAAGAATAAAATCTTTGTGCAAAGTCATTAGATTATTTGGCTATGTCTAGCCCATTCTGACTTTGAAAGATAAAAGGGAAAGGAACTGCACACTGAGAAGATTTTGATTCATGAAACACGGAGGATCTTTCAAGAGGCTGCAATAGACAGATCCTTTGAGACCAGTTGGAGACCCAAGGATAAGATTACTTTGAAGAGGAATGGTACAAAATCAGCATCATTAAAGAGTCTGGTATTGGAATCACCATCTCTGTGGCCTCATTCCATTTCTCAAGATCTGAGAAGAAGAGTCCTGCTCTGGAGTTGGTTTCAATTGCTCAACTGTCCACTGAGCACAGGGGCCTGTGGGGGTGGCCTATTTCTGGGCTACATTAAGCTGCTGAGAACCAAAGGAGGACAAAGAGATTCATTTCCCTCTTCTTCAGAGGAGTGCTGTCTGATCAGGACGATTAAGCTGAATGGCCTTTGCTCATTCCTTTGCCATCACTATGTCTACAGCATGTTTCATTTTTGGGTACCAGCTCCTTAGAAATGCCAGCCAGGAGATTATCTTTCATTTCTTTGAATAAAGAATATCTCCATAATAAACTAAGGGAATAGGGAGCAATAGCTTGATCAACTGAGAAACTTCAAGGGATACAAATAAATTGGCGTCTGGCAATAATTTAGCAATTTCAGAATGACACAATCCCTGGGATTTTCACTGCAGAGGCAAATGCACAGGAAAACAACACCCTGGAAACTGTGTGCGAGCCCAACCTCAGAACACAAAGAAGTGACCACGGGAGTCTCTTACCACTCTGATCAAGCGTCCAGACTTGGCATCAATCACCAGAACCTTTTGCGAGCATGTTGCCACCAGCAGGTGGCCCAGAGGGAAAGGGGCAAAGCAGAGTCTCTCAGCCATGTCCAGAACAGTGCTGTCCAAATCCAAAATGCTCATATCTACTCTCAGCAGCTGCCAGGCAGAACAAATAATAATAATAATAATAATAATAATAATAATAATAATAATAATAATAATAATGTCCCATTTCTTGAAGCAAAATATTCTGCACTAAAACAGAAGACGGGGAATATTTGGAAAGAGAACACTCAGGCCTGGTCTATACAAACAGCACAATTAAGTGAAGTGGACTGTACAACATCATAAGGCATGAGATGCACTATTTATCAATACAGGAGCAGGGGCCGACCTTAGTAATACAACCCTCACGCCACTTTCCCGAAGTCAAGTAAGCGGGGTGCTGGGCTTTGGGGAAGGAGGCGCAAGAGCTCTCTGGCAGGGTCTTAGAGCCTTCCTGTCTCCTTCCCAAAGCTGGGCAAGCATTAACTGGGCTTTGAAAAGGAGGAAGGGGGACTCTAGGACCCTGTCATGGCCATTACACCTCCTTCCAGAAGCAAGTGCTTACTAGGCTTTGGGACAGAGATGGGAAGGCGCTCCCTTGGCCCCTTCGACCTGTGCGGGGAAACCAGTCACGCTGTCCTAAATCCACCCCTGCAAGAAGGGATCCTGGCCCATCAGGATCGAACAAATGTTTGTCAGGAGAGAACGGCAGCACTATGTAGTGACAAGGACAGGAATAGCCCCCATGTTTATAAACAAACTGAAGGGGACGTGCATATCACCCTGCTATTACTGCAGCCCAGCAGATGTAGCTAAGGGCCGCCCTGACTGAGAACAGGCCAGCATTTCAGGTGCTCCCTGGGTTTAGACAAAAAAATCTGCCAACGTTTTTGCTCTGTAACTGTGAGGGTTACGTGTTTCTGGAAGCTTCTTTCCTGAGGACAGCGAGTGGTGAGCAGGTGTCAAGTTACCTCATCTAAGGAATAAGCATCCATGAGAGTCACAATGTATTTGGAAGGTCCCACAAAGGCCAAGAGACGTCCATCGCCGCTGACAGAGAGAGCATCAGGACCGTGGTCAGCATCTTGTGAGGTGACATTTGCTGAATGAAAGGCAGATATTTAGTATGAGAGGTTATTTGTTTTATTAAATCAGAGCACTTCTACCCCACCTTTCCCTGCAAGGAGCTCAAGGTGGCATGCAGGGCTCCCCACCCCTCCTCATTTTATTCCCACAACAACCCTGTTAGGGGGGGACTCAGTGAAGGGCCCAAGGTTACCCAAAGACTCATGGCAGAGAGGGTATTTGAACCCTGGTCTCTTGGGTCCTTAGGGACGCAGGTGGCGCTGTGGGTTAAACCACAGAGCCTAGGACTTGCCGATCAGAAGGTCGGCGGTTCAAATCCCCACGACGGGGTGAGCTCCCGTTGCTCGGTCCCTGCTCCTGCCAACCTAGCAGTTCGAAAGCACATCAAAGTGCAAGTAGATAAATAGGTACCACTCCGGCGGGAAGGTAAAAACAGCATTTCTGTGCGCTGCTCTGGTTTGCCAGAAGCAGCTTAGTCATTCTGGCCACATGACCTGGAAGCTGTACGCCGGCTCCCTCGGCCAATAAAGCGAGATGAGCACCGCAACCCCAGAGTCGGCCACGACTGGACCTAATATTCAGGGGTACCTTACTCTTGGGTCCTAGATGGGCACTCTAACCACCACACCAAGAAAGTAGAAGCAAAGACTCACTCATCAACTCACACCAAAATCATAATGCAGCACGAGTTCCCAAACCATTAGGGCCGGAGTCAGGACCCCTTTTCTTGTCAATGGCCACATACCCTTGGGGTAATTTGTTGGCTGCAGCACACCAATGGTGGCAGAACCAGACCCAAAAGTGGGTGGGGGCACACCTTTTCATGGAAGTCTTTCCCAAACGAGGAAATAAAAATGGAAAATGAACTTTGGCAAAAGAAACGCAAGCAAAGGCTCTTGCTGGTGGTGGAGCACCACTTAGTTAATAGCCGTTGTGGGGACAGGAATGCAAGAGAAAGGAAGCAAAGAGCAGGGTGCTTTAATGGGCACTAGTACAATTAATTGGTCTTAAGAACAACTATTTAAGAATTGTTGCCTGAGTTTGCTTGCTTCCTCTTCCCTCCCTATTCCCTTTTCCTTTTGTGCCATGTTGAAAGAGTGCAGACAGGAACTGTCCTGTTTTAATTGATGGTATACAAGCTGCTCTGGGACCTACTGAAGCTGAAGGGCAGAGTACAAATGCTCTAAGTAAATATATTAACAAACAAACAAAAACCTTACCTAGTACTCTGATAACGTGGCTTTTCTGGATGGCAGAGTTATAAAGAGCCAGGGTCCCATGGCTGCAGGAACTGTACATGAAATTGCCATCTGGGGAGAAGGTCAGGCCTGTGATTGACCCACGGTGCTGCCTGCAAAGTACCAAAAAGAACGAAAGAAAGCAGAACGGGGAACCAGAAATTAAGATGGCAATCAAACTAGTTCATGCATTGATCCTTAATGAGGCGGCACACATGTCAGGGCCATAACACTTCAGATGGCAGCAATGAGCTCACATGATGGAGTTAAAGAAACATATGGAGGGCAAGACTATCAGTTGCTATTAGCCACAGTGGCTAGGTTCTACCTGCATTGATAGCAGCAGTATGCCATTTGCTTGGAATCTCAAGTGGGGAGAACACTGTTGAACTGTAGGCATTTAGTTGGCCATTGTGAGAAAACAGTGCTGGACTTGATAAACCATTTGTCTGATCCAGAAGGACTCTTCTTACGGAATGTTCCTCCATTAAAAACCAAAACCTTTTGTATAGAAAACAAGAAGGATTCCAGCCTAGCCTTCTCTCCAACAGGCAGGTTTTCTATATGGAGGGATATAGATTTTTTGTAATGGAGGTGTGTCCCACCATTTGATTTCTCCCCCCTACACTCTAAGTGGTACAGCCCATACAGAGCTTTTACCATTTCACTGGTCAGAACCAGGTCCATGTCAACAGAGAAGCCTGCCTGCTCTTCTAGACCTCACCCCCACCCTGCACTTTTAGCCTCTTTTCCAGCTTCTCACAACATCAGAACTGGAACAGAGAACTCCAAAGTCTGCAAGAAGCTAATATCTACTCAAGATAATGTTGATCTCCCACATTTCTGTTCCTCTTGAAAGAACATCCAACGGAGTTGTATCCAATGCTACTCAGAGTAAACCCACTGAAATGAATGGAGATTAGTAACAGGTTTGTTAATTTCAATGGCTCTTCTTTGAGTAGATACAACCCACTGCCCTCAACTTTCATCATTTTGGATTGACACATGGAAGAACACTCAGGATGCAACTTTGAAAGTATATATTGAAAACATACTTGTGTTCCTCAAGGAGTTTTGAGGCAGCCAGACTGATGGTCCTCACGACACCAGTATCAAAACCGCAAGCAAAGATAAATTGCGAGGGATGGAAAGAGACGGCACACGGTGTTTCGTCAGAGGCAGTGAATTCATAGAGCTATAGGGGGCAGAGGATCATGCTGATCAGACACAAGACGGGCTGGCAATAACAAGCTGCCAAAGTCTTAGGCCTCATTCTCACTACACATTTAAAGCACTATGATACCACTTTAAACAGCCACGGCTTCCCCTAAAGAATCCTGGGAAGTGTAGTTTGCAAAGGGTGTTGAGAGTTGTTAGGAGACCCCCTACTCTCCTCACAGAGCCACAATACCCAGAGTGGTATATTAACCAATCCGTCTACCCAGGGAAACCTGAGAGCTGTAGCTCTGTGATGGGAATAGGGGTCTCCTAAGAACTCAGAGGAGCCTAACAAAACTACAGCTCCCAGGATTCTTTGAGTGAAGCCATGACTGTAATACTTTCTTGTTTCAATAGGCTTCTGGGAATTTACTATTTTTATTTTACTATTTTTAGGAAGGAGCTGTTGCTGTGCTGTTTTTATTGTAAGGATTTGTATGTGATCTTCTATCTGTATATATTTGAATTCTACTAATGGTTCATTGTTTTTTAATGACCATTTTTTTAGCTGTTTAAATTTTAATTGTAAGTAGCCTTGAGTCCTATCAGGGGAAAAGCCAGGATATCAATAATAATAATAATGCGGTATCACAGTGCCTTACATTTATAGATCAGATGTTGCCTTAACCTCAAATCTCAGCTCAATGTCACACGAGCAGATAGGCCTGAACCCAACGAAACAACCAACTGGAGATAACTCACCAATCCAATCCAATAGAAGTATCAGCTATTAAGGAAGGACTGAACTATGGTGGGGGGAGGACTGGCATTAGTGCCGTCAACTAGACCTAAGATAGTCACGTCCATTGATTTCAACAAGCTGACTCCAAATAGAATTAACGTTCGATATGATCCTCTGTGTCCCTGGTAGACTTTATGAAAAAGGCATTCTTGACATTACCTGCTGCATAGACTCAAGGTTCCAGACGCGAATGGTGTTATCCTGAGAGACAGTCACCAGCTGCTTCTGGGATCTCTCCACAGAGAATGCCAAAACAGAATCCAGATGGGAGCGCATAACGGTGCAATAGTCCTTAGACTGGATGTCCAGGCAACCCACATTCCCAGAGGCAGTTGTGCACAGAACCTTCAGGTTATCTGGGCTGATGCGGACCGAACTCACCGGGCTGTGATGCTCTGCAGGAAGACAAGCCGCCCAATGAAGAGTCTGCAGGTGACATGCTTGCAGGGGTGATATGATAGCCATGTTCAAATATATAAAAGGATGTCACATAGAGGAGGGAGAAAGGTTGTTTTCTGCTGCTCCAGAGAAGCGGACACGGAGCAATGGATCCAAACTACAAGAAAGAAGATTCCACCTAAACATTAGGAAGAACTTCCTGACAGTAAGAGCTGTTTGACAGTGGAATTTGCTGCCAAGGAGTGTGGTGGAGTCTCCTTCTTTGGAGGTCTTTAAGCAGAGGCTTGACAACCATATGTCAGGAGTGCTCTGATGGTGTTTCCTGCTTGGCAGGGGGTTGGACTCGATGGCCCTTGTGGTCTCTTCCAACTCTATGATTCTATGATTCTATGACTCATTTATGCAAAAACTTATTTCTCACTTTCAGGCAAGAGTGTTTATGCTTGTGAAACCAAAGCGACACCAGCCACAGGTTTGGCAGAATGCGTTTTTTAAAACAACAACAACAATACCCGGAGGCTCAGAGGCAGCATGCCTCTAAATACCTGTAGCTGTGAAACAATAGCAGGAGATGGCTATGGACTATCCTGCTTGCGGGCTACCCAGAGGCCATCTGGTTGGCCACTGTGGAAAACAGGATGTTGGACTAAACAGGCTTCTAGGTAGGCCATGAGAACTCTTCATATGATTAGGGAAGCAAATGGGCACGGATCTTACACAGTTTTTCTAAATTTACATGTAGCCTGTTAACGAGACAATGAAAGATGTCCAGGGTGAATAGGTTACTGGAGCCATGCCTGCAGGGTGAACATGTCACAGGGATTGGTGGTGGAAGTGCCACAGAGCTCTGTTTTCTAAAACAGGGGACCATTTATCAGTCCAAGGGCCACATTTCCTTCTGGACAACCTCCCAGAGGCTACATATCACTGGTGGGCAGGGCCAGAGACAAAAGAGTACAGAACAATGGATGTGAATTTTACCTCTGCACATGTTCTGCTATCTCCTCCATCCAGGCTAGCAACAGGCACCATCAGAATTCTAGGACATATTCCAGCCAGGCAAAAACTCAAAGAGGCTGCAAGGACTGGCCAATGAGGGGTGTGGCTTGGGAAGAGCTCCTGGGGCCCAATGGGAGAGGCTGAGAGGACCACGTGGGCCTGAGGATGTTGATCCTTAGTTTACTACACAGATCTCAGTTATATAGATATGCAGATATTCACAGCACGATCCCGAAGCACTACGCACCTGCCTCCAAGAAGACTTCAGAGAAGTCCAGTGGCCACAGGCGCAGGTAGCCATCTTCAGAGGCTGTGGCACAGAAAGTTGATGAGAGACATATGCTGTTCAGTGCTATCCCAGGACCTGAAAGAACAAAGATCCAGTACACTCTGAAGCACAAGAGCTGGCAGTGAAGGCCCCACACTGTATAGTCAGCTGTAATCTGAGCAAGAAGATTTGGAGCTGGCCCAGATACCCATGTCAGCCATTGTGGGATAATTCTGAAATCCTTTCCGTGCTAGAAGCCTTTAGTGCAACCTTCCACAGCTAGCCAGAAGTAGCCTGTGTAGAGGAACCTGATGAGATCTATCCCTCAATCAGCCATTCATTTCTACAGAGCTGGGCAGGAGAATATTGCATGGGTCAGAGCCATATCCCACCATGACATTCTTAAAGGCATCAGAGCCAAGCTGATTTCTGCCACCAACATGTTGCCATTTGAGTGCTAGGAAAATTAAGCAACACCGAAACAGAAATTATTCCTTGAAAGAAGACTGCTCGCTCCTGCCCAACACCTGTGTTACAAACGGATTGTCTCCAGGCTTGTATTTTCTAACCTGGACCCCTTCAGATGTTTTGGACTACAAATCCCATCATCCTTGACCATTTGGCCATGCTGACTGGGACTGATGGGAGTTTTATTCCAAAACATCTGGAGGGGACCAGGGAAAGGCCAGTTTGGCAAGTTCCCAAGATGAAAGTTCTGTAGGCAGCTACAGAGAGTTTGGATTTGGATTTGATATCCCGCTTTATCACTACGCTAAGGAGTCTCAAAGTGGCTAACATTCTCCTTTCCCTTTCTCCCCCACAACAAACACTCTGTGAGGTGAGTGGGGCTGAGAGACTTCAGAGAAGTGTGACGAGCCCAAGGTCACCCAGCAGCTGCATGTGGAGGAGCGGGGACGCGAACCCGGTTCACCAGATTACGAGACTACCGCTCTTAACCACTACACCACACAGAAAATCCTATGCAGCCCACCTGAGTTAAAAGTTTGCTTCTCCCGCTGATGAGAGTGCTGCCCTTCCGATGGCAAGAGGCGCCGGGCATTTCTGACAGCGACATTCTTATAGTTGATTTCCAAAACGTGTCCACTCCGGCTGCAAACAAACCTGAGAGGAAAGCAGCAAGGTCACTCAGCAGCAACATCATTATAGGACCAAAAGCAATTATAAGACTTTTAGGGGTGCCAGCTTTAAATCAGTAGGTCAAGCAACAAAAGTTGTAGCTGATTAAATCTACGGCTGGCAATTTAATTAAACAGGAAGAGAGTTAAGGGAGCTCCTGCTTATTTCACGCATACTGTATTTCTGAGAGAGATGTCATGTAGCTTAGTCTATGTTTTCTGGAATGCTTGATTTGAACTATTAATAGGCTTTGTTGGTGGGAAGAAGTGGATCTACCCAGGGCTCTAGGGAAGGAGATCATCCCTGACTTGCCCAACTCTAATTAGCTGAGGGTCCTGGAAGCATGAAGGTATGATCTTGTTACCAGGTATGGAAAACAGTATAGAAACCCAGAAGCCTGTCTTGCAGTTATCAGCTTTTTTCAAAAGCATTCACCAAGGAGCAATAAAGTGGAGCAGCTTCTTACAGTGTCCGGTCTTGTGGCTCTCGCTGGGTGGAATGGCCTGCTTCAAAGTCCAAGTCCGTGAACTCCATGGAACGGTACTCGCCCAAATTTACCGGGCAGGAGCGCAGCACTCCACTCCGGACCCGCCACAGCCTCACGTTGTCCCGGCCACACGACACCATTCTGTTATGAGAAACGCTGGGAGTATGAAACTAGATAGGACTTGTTTTTAAGGTACAAGTCTTGCATCCTGCATTGTCACAGTTCAGGTTCCCACAAGCAAAGGGGTGCCTCTTTCTCTCCTCCTGCGTGATGCTGCCTTTCCTTTTTCAGCCTCTGCTTTGCTGCCCTGGGCTCCTTTGGGAGCAAGGGCAGGATACACATGCAATAAAACGGCAACAATAAGCTCCACCCAAAGAGGGTGATAGAGCCTTATCAGCTCGGAGGACCGGAGCCGAAATCCCAATATTTTTGGTTATGGATGCCAGAAGGACGGAATCCAGAATGACGAATGGCAGAGGAAGGGACGCAGCTTATCTTTGGGAGGAAGGGCAGGATACACAGGATGCAATAAAACGGCAACAACAAGCTCCACTCTTTACCTGGTGTCATCAAAAAAGGCAATCTTTAAGGCCTGGATGTCCACATCTGTGTGCGCTTTGGCAAGCATCACCACCTCTCCCCCATGGTTCACCTGAACAGTATTCCACACCACCACCATCTGCAAAGGGAGGAGAGAGAGAGGCAGCTGGGTGGGACACAGGAGAGCCAGGCTCAGATCCCTCCTCATCTCTAAAAGCTCACCAAGTGGACGTAGTCAAAGTCAGCACAAACCAAACAAACACATTGCTAGGAGCTTCTGCACAGACCCCAAAGGCAATTCTCCAGCAAGCGTTAAACTAAGGTCTTGACATCTTTCCGCAGGACCTGCAAGACAGAGCTGTTCCACCTGGCCTTTGGTTTGGACTCAGTCTGACCCTTATGTTTCCCTCCCCTTATGGTTTTGATTTATGGGCTACTCTTGAAATGAGGCTGCATTTTAAATTGTATTTCAACCCATATTTTAATAAACTGGTTTTGGGTTTTTTTGGTTTTGTTTGTTTGTCTGTCTCCCCCCCCCCCCAATTATGTTTTATTGTAATTTTATTGGTGTTAACCGCCCTGAGCCCGGCTCTGGCCGGGGAAGGTGGGGTATAAATAAAAATGTATTATTATTATTATTATTATTATTATTATTATTATTAGACATTCAGTGGCATTAAAAATGCAGCAGCTCAAGGAGCAGACCACTAGCCACACTCTTGGAAGGCCTGTGGCTTGAGCCTGAGCCTGACACAACTCCAGCAACAATCTCAGAAAACAGGTCAAAGACATAGCCCTTGCAGAAGGGGCACGTATCAGTAGTGTAAAGGTAAAGGTAAGGTAAAGGACCGCTGGATGGTTAAGTCCAGCCAAAGGCGACTATGGGGTTGCGGCGTTCATCTCACTTCAGGCCGAGGGAGCCGGCATTTGTCCACAGAAAGCTTTCCAGGTCATGTGGTCAGCATGACTAAACTGATTCTGGAGCAATGGAACACTGTGACAGAAGCCAGAGCGCAACTCAGCCTGACATCCACCTGCAACTCACACCAAAGCAGCACTTCCTTGTCATATAATCAATGCAACACTCTTCTAAGGTGCTGAGAATTTTTTTTAAAAAGAGCAATAGCAGCTCTAGTAAAGTTTCATTTGGATCTCAGTACATTAACAACCAGGTGAATAACTGATCTGGAAAACCTTGCAGCCCCTTCTTGCCACAAACTGTGACAGAACTCACTCGAGAATGTTGGACAGCACAGACCAGAGATGGGGGACCTCAGGACAGGGGGGGGGGATGCAGCACTGCAGGTGTTTCTAGCCGTCCCTTTGGACGCTCCGCCCACACCACACCTACTGCAAAGAAAGAAATGCTGATTCACTCACTGTTTTCCCATGTCGGTCCTTCCCAGTGCCACACAGGATACCCCCACTGTAGGAGAAGCTGCAAAAGAACGAGGGGGCAGAGCTCAGCAGCAGAGAACAGTCTTTTGCACACGGAAAATCTCAGGTTCAATCTCCAGTTAAAAGCATCTGGTAATAGCAAGTGATGTGGAAAACCTCTGCCTGAACTCCTTGGCAACCTTATGCCCATCAGAGTGGACAGCACTAGCATAAGTGGAGAAGCAGTCTGAGTACTTACTATAAGCCAGATTCCGCTGTTCACTGAAAACCCAGTTTTGACAGCATCAAAACTGGCAGTCTTTCGTTTTCTACCTTGCTGCCATGAGTCCTGTGAAGGTGTCATGGACAGGGTGTGTGTGTGTGTGTGTGTGTGTGTGTGAGAGAGAGAGAGAGAGAGAGAGAGAGAGAGAGAGAGACCTTAAGCAGGAGTTTGGGGAGTTAGATCTAGACCATGGCAGCGTGGGCATAGCAGATTTTGACCAAGAGACATCTGTTGAGATCTGCCCTCCAAAGGAGGCTTAAGAAAACTCTCAGAGGTACCTTCTGTTATCTTTGTTCCAGACACACACTCCTCAGCTTTACCAGCTGAGGTGTCTCCAGTGCCTTCCCGGGAAACAGCTGGGAATACATTTGATGCCAAGCTGGCAACTAGGGCATGGAGATGCCAGTGTGCACAAACCTCACCTAGCCAACCCACTACAGAAGGAGTGCCCTTTTGCCTGCCTAGCCTCAGGGCTCTGGCTGCTTGGCTTGCTAAATGTTGTGCCCTCCTGTCCCTCAAATGGAAGGTGCAAGGGGCTTGTCACTTGTCGGTTCAATATTTTAGAGCGTGCCCAACCATGCCTTTGACCTCCCATGTAACCGCTGGTTCTTGCAACCTGTAACTTGCCTTACGTACCATACTAATCTTAAAATTAAAGCCTTTGGGAGTCAAGAGTTCCAGATCCTCCTTGTAAAGTTAACATATGAGAGTGCTGGAGGTGAAATAGTTAAACAAGTTACCCAATCAGAACCCAGGGGGGTGGAGTCAGAGGGACTATAAAACCAGCTCTGGGAGAGGCGAAAGGGGAGTTCGTTGGGAGTTGGGTGGTTGGTTGGAGTGAATTGGGATAGAGTCTGTGGGGAGGTTGAGTTAGTGTAGCAAAATAAGTTGAGTCAGGAATAGTTAGGGACTAGGAAGACAAGTAAATATCTGAGAGGTGGTTTAATGAGTAAGAGCAGGTAGCGGAAGTTATAGGTCTGGATAGGCACCCCATGATTGCAATAGACCGATACCGTTTATGAAACCACACACCTGTTAAACTGCAATAAATAAACAGAAGTTTATGTTCCAATTTGACCCTGACTGGACTCAGTATTGTACCAGGTAGGGCCTGGGTGGTGGCAGTGAGAAATAAAGTGGTGGCACAGGGATCAATAGACAATGAAACGTCCGGGGACCCTATGTGATTGCCACACTCCTTGGATGCCTCCTTGTGCCCCAGCCTACCCTGCTCCCTCCTGCACTTACCTGAGGCAAGAGATTGATTGCATCCCCGTTTTAAACATGCAGAGGCACCTCCCCGATGGAAAATCCCAAAGACGTATCACGCTCAGTTGCCCTATCTGTGCAGAGGCCAGCAAAGTGCTGTTGCCGTTGAACGCCAATGCCGCCACCTGCAGAAAATTGAGACATTGTGGGAAAAGGTACCCTGTGGCATTAAGCAGAATTGGATTCCTTTCAGGAGAATTATGTGCCTTTTACATAGGAAGGAACTGCCTGTTGCTGCTCCTCTTTCAAACCACACCAATTTGCCCAACAGGAGCTGATCAAAGAGCTGAAAGGTAATCAAATCCTTATTATGGGGGTTTTATTAAACTGGTAACAGAAGCATGAAGGTCTCCAGAGAATGGCTGTTGCTGCTGTAGCCTCAACCACCACCTGCTACTTAGCATTCACATAGAACTGGAAGAGCTTCACCTTCACTTACAAGAGCTGGAATTATTATTCCCCACGTTGCAGATGGTGATAGTTAGTGGTGGTGCTAAGGATGAATATGGCTTGCCTAAAGCCCATGATAGAATTATAGAATTGCAGTTAGAAGGGGCCACAAGGGTCATCTAGTCCAACCCCCTGCAAAGTAGGAATCTTTCACCCAAGGTGGGGCTTGAACCCACAACCCTAAGATTAAGGGGTCTCGTGATCTACCAGCTGAGCTATCCGTACAAAGGCAAGATTTCAAATGCAGACTTTCTGGTCCCCAGCTCAGTCTCTCAGGGCTTTCTCCCCAGGGAACGTCACCCAGTGCCAACAATGGCATGTTTCCGACAGCAGGCAAACATGTTCCAAGGCTTCAAGGGACATGGTGCTTTTGGGGGCCATGGCTTTGTGCGTGTGCTAGCATGTTTGTAGTGGTATTGCAGTTGCATGGAGGATGGATGCTTTCCCTTTTATAATTTGTTTATTGTACATGAACATTTTCAACGTGGCATATTTTAAACTGGTACACTATGTTTTACTTCAAGACTTCTTGTTTGCAAGAAGCAACTCATTCATTAATTAGTCATTACGCTCATCATCAAGCTAATTGATATCCTCTTTTTAGTAAAAAATAGATATGACCCTTTTGCCCAGAGTTAACGCCTGTTTTTAGGGGCTATAAAATTATAGAATCATAGAGTTGGAATAGACCACAAGGGCCATCGAGTCCAACCCCCTGCCAAGCAGGAAACACCATCAGAGCACTCCTGACATATGGTTGTCAAGCCTCTGCTTAAAGACCTCCAAAGAAGGAGACTCCACCACACTCCTTGGCAGCAAATTCCACTGTCGAACAGCTCTTACTGTCAGGAAGTTCTTCCTAATGTTTAGGTGGAATCTTCTTTCTTGTAGTTTGGATCCATTGCTCCGTGTCCGCTTCTCTGGAGCAGCAGAAAACAACCTTTCTCCCTCCTCTATATGACATCCTTTTATATATTTGAACATGGCTATCATATCACCCCTTAACCTCCTCTTCTCCAGGCTAAACATGCCCAGCTCCCTTAGCCGTTCCTCATAAGGCATCATTTCCAGGCCTTTGACCATTTTGGTTGCCCTCCTCTGGACAAAATTGAATGGGGGCATTTGGTCCTATGGGTCTAAATGCCCCTTAAGTGCTGCCACTATCCCCTTCTAGCCTCAGTTATGCCTGTTGCCCATTCTGACTTGCCCAGAACCTTGCGCTGAACCCAATGGTCATCCTTGGCTTAACAAACTACAGTTTATTAATGAGTGCATCTTCATAAACAATAGTTTATTACTATTAGTATATTCATAGCATTATACCTGTAGATTTCACACAATACACACAGAGAGACATGCACCAATGCAGCAACAATGACAAAGGTATTTTGGAAGCAATATGTGGGAGCCAAAGGTGTACACGGATATTGGACAAATAACACAGCAAAAGAATGCCTGCCCCTTGCTGTTTATTAACAGCTGCAAAAACTGCATGCGCACAATGATCAAAATCAAAGAAATTAACTTTCGCGAATTAAAGCAGGAAGTCAGGCTGTAGATATGAAATTCTTTTGGGACTTCCGGGTTGGCGCGATCCGGGAATGGCGGATTCCCTCCGAGCTCCGGAGGGAATCGGCTCAGCGGTGGATGGGTCTTTGCCGTGCCGGCGACACGGGGACCCTTAAAAACCGCAGGTGCAGATGCCTGCGGACTGAAGACTCGGCGGGTGCCTTAAGCGCCCCCCCTGATTCGCGAAGAGCCTTTTTAAAGGCTATGGAGGGGATACGGGGGACGGCGCGGCACTGAGAGTCGATCGCTACCGCCGCTGAGCGAAGCCGCGAGCCATAACCGGAGAGCGCTGACTTCCTTCCTTGAAATTTGGATTGAAAAAAGAACCCGTGAGTAATTTGGAACTGAGCTTTAAAAACCTTTACCTTTTGAATTTGAGACGACCGGGGGGTGTGCCAAAAGGAAGTCCCCATCCCCCCCCCTTGCAGACGATCCAGAGCAACGATATAAGAGCTAAGCTGGAGTGCCCACCCTGTAAAGGGTGAGTTTTAAAAAGACAGTAACTTCCAAGATTTGGAAAAGCAAATTTAAGCAGGAGAGTGGAGTGTTGGAAGAGTTTTTGTTTTGTGGTAAACAACCCTCCCTCCCGAGCCCGGGAGCGATCTGCTTTGGAGCCTGTATAGAGGAGCAGAATTTGACAGCTGTCAAAGCTGTCAAATGGACTGTTAATACTGAAAAAATTGCTACTTAAGACCTCTCCGGATAAAAAGGAGTTACAATTGAACAAAAATTTTGGGAAACAAAGAAACAATAATAGGACAGAGGATTGTTGGAGAAAAGACCATCCAGTAACCAGATTCCCTCTAGGGGGAATTCTGTGGAATTACAATGGCTGTGGGTGGAAAGTTACTGAGAGAAATCGAAAGGATGTTTTCACTGGTGGGAACCTTACAGGAGCAGACTACAGCTATGAGTAAACAATTGACGGCCTTGGATTTGGAAACAAGTAGCTCTGCTGAATGTAATGAGGACTTGAATGAGAAAGAACCCACAGCTGAATTTGAAATAATAAACAAAGAAGAGGAGAAGACAAAACAAGAAAGAGAACAAGTTATGTGGGAAAATACTAACCAGAAGCCGATATTTGGAGAATACAAACAAGGAGACCATTGGATGGAATCTATTCCAAGCCTACGAAAGATACAGAAGATGAAAGTGGAGGCCCTGGGAGTTTATGGAACTCAGGAACTCGAAATAAAGAAGTACAATTGGGGCCTCCACATAGACTTTGATTTTGACCATCACCAAGACTCAGGCCTTGTGGAAATTCCTCAGCAGTTGCTTATAAATATGGGAAGAGACTATGGACCGATTGGATTGAATGTTAATGAAATCTTTCGAGACTCGATGACTGACAAAGAGGACTACCAACAAAACCGGCGGAGAGGGACTGAAATAGATTTGAGAGCCTCGGATGTGCGGAATCCAGGCTAAAAACTGTTATTTTGGACATGTCTTGGGAAAGGACGCAAAGCGGGGATGGGAGGGAGGGAAGCATAAACTTAAATAACACTCAAGACCAGGGGTTTAGTAATAAGGAATTACTCAAGAAAAAATGAGAAATCGAGGGAAGAGAATTGGGGTCCAACTTAGGGAAAACTTATTTTTTGTTTCTATAAAAGGACTAATATTAAGAAGGAAGAAATGCTAACTTGCTGACATAAACTTGGGAACAGGGATGCAAGGGAGGGGGTGGGGGGAAGTCAAGGACTAGGGTTAGAAAATAAGACTTTTTGGAACTATTCATGTTTGCTGTTGTTGTTTTTTATGTTTGTTTTGGTGTTATGTGTTTTGTTTTTGTCTATATAAAATGTGAAAACCCAATAAAAATTATTATAAAAAAAAAAAAATAGATATGAAATTCTTTAACATAGGGGTGGGTAACCTGTGGCTCTCCAGATGTTGCTGGATGCTGACTCCCATCAGCCCTAGCCAGCAGAGCCAATGGTCAGGGCTGCTGGGAGTTGTACCTCAATCTGGATGACCACAGGTTCCACAACCCCGCTTTCACAACAGCTGGGTGAAGTTTATGAGATACTGAAATACTGCTTCTAATTCTACCCAAGTCTCAAAATGCATTCATCTGACGTTATGAAGGCTCCTGGTGCATACCAGGCTTCTGCAACCTGGTGCCCATTCCTGGCCACTGGCAATACTTGCTAGGGCTGAGCAGAGTTGCAGTACATAACATCTGAAGATCCCCAGGTTGAGAAGGACTGGTGTATTTTTAAGTCTCTCCTGTATTTTTATTGACATGTGGAAAAACAAGACAAAAGAAACAAATATTACCTTATCAGTGTGCCCAGCAAAGAACCGCTGTTTGCCAGTGTCTAATGCAATTGCTATAATCAGAGCATGGCAGGGGTAGACCACCACAGATCCATTTGCAGCCCACAGAGCCTGGGTGACAAAGACAAAAGGTCAAATGAGAGACTTCTGCAGCGAACGGACTACACTTCTTGCTTGAAGCATTAAGTGACAAATACGCATGATGAATAAATTCAAGCATACTGACCCATCTGGTACTGAAGCCTCCAAACCCAATAACCCTCTTCAGCTTCAGGATTGGATCTGGCAAGAGCTTCTGGAGGAGAAAAATCAACCCATCATCAGATTTAAGATACTCTGCTAAGGCCAGGACTATGTATAATAATACACTGAAGTGAGTCTCCACCTTTTCCATTCAGGAAATGAATCTTGACATGCGTAGAAGTTTCCTGTAAGGGCGTGTTACCCAACCAAATTATGGGATGGGAGAGGCCTCTCCTTGACATAAGGACTGTTGTTCTGTGGCAAAGCGCTTGCTTTTCAAGCAAAGGTCCCAGATTCAATCCCTGGGTAGGGAAAGGTCTTGTTGGAAGATTAAGGACAGATAAAATAAATGGCGACCCTCACACAGTGCATAGTTAAACTATGGAACTCACTCCTGCAGGAAGCAGTGATGGCTGCCAGCTTGGATGGCTTTAGAAAGCGGAATGGACAAATTCATGGAGGACCAAGGCTATCCATGGCGACCATCCATAATGGCTATGTTCTGCCTCCAAGGTCAAAGGCATGATGCCTCTGAATATCAGGTGCTGGGAACTGCCGGTGGGCAGAGTGCTCTGGTTAGCCCCTGTGAGAACAGGATGTTGGACTAGATGGGGCACTGGCCTGATCCAGCAAGCTCTTCTTACGTTCTTAAGATTGCTGGCCGAAAGGCCTGGTGAGCTGCTGCCAGTCAGTGTAGATAATGCTCATACAGATGGACCAATGGTCTGACTCGGGATAAGGCAGCTCCCTGTTTCCAGTAGCTGCTCCATGCACATATGGCTTGTGGCCAGAATTGGAGGGTCGGCAGCCACTGCTAGCGCAGGGACTGATGTGGGCAGCAATGATCATAGGAAAGAGGCCAAGACTCAAGAGATCCACAGCTTCTCCAGCCAACCTGTGGATTCAGAATTGATCCTCATTTGCTTGCACAAAAAGCTTTTGAAGTGGTAACGCCATGGCCGGTCTTTATTGAGCCTTACGCCATGATTTGTTTAAGCGGGGTGTGTGTTACATGACAATGAGCATTTATCCTGATTTGTTTACAGGGTATTTGCACATCTTACCGTTAATCATTTGTTCATATCAAACTTTTCAATTCATTTCCTCGCTGCTTTTCAAACCACTAGTAGTCTTGTTCCTTTTTAGAGTGGATCTGTTACACCAGGGCAGTGGTTTTCAACCAGTGTGCCGTGGCACCCTGGGGTGACTTGAATGATGGTCAGGGGTGCTGTGGGCAACACTGGTCTCTGTCCCTGTTTTCTTCCCCTCCTTTGATGCCTTCTCACATCTCTGCTTCCCAAAGGCTTGCACAACTGTGGTTTTTTTTTGCAGCAGCCCTGGCTATATGTTCCGCAGGTGAATGGTGCCTCTGGGAGGCACCTCTCTTTAGTGGGGAGGAAGCTCACCAGAGACCAGGGACAGCAGCAGCAGCTGCCTGGAAGACTCCCAAGGAGAGGGGAGAGGAGGCTGAGGGAACACTCCACAAGGGAGGGTTTCTGAAAAAGTGTGAGAGGCTGTCAGCTCTGCAGGCAAGGGTTGCCATAACTGGACTCTTGAGCCCCACAGGGTTGCCGCAGAAAGAATGGATTTAGCTGGTTAAGAAAACAATGGACTCAAAAAGTTTGAAAACCTCTGCACCGGAGTAAGAAGAGTGATGTAATCCACTATAAATATGCAAATCTAAAGTTTCAGTTTGTGCCTGAAACTCTCCTGCAAAATACTGACAGTCTGCAGCTATCAGTGGCTGAAGAGGCCTGATGTAGCTATGTCTGTGAAATCAAGGCATCTCTTCCAGGTAGCAAGGGGAGATGGGAAGTTAAAGAGTGGCACTTTAAATAGTACTAAAAGGCAGGATCTCTCACCATGCAACGAACTGAATCCTTGGTGGAGATCACCTTTGGTCCCATCGCTTGTGCACACACATCCTGGAAAGAGACAAAATAAATTTAAATGTTGGCATGGGAGTCAAGAACCATTTAGGGGTGTGTTATTATTTATTAGCCCACCAGATGTAGTTGGACTGGCCAGCATGACCAGTGGTCAGGATGAAGGGGGCTGTAGTCCAACCTCTGGAGGGCGGTGGGTATCCCACCCATGTCATAGAGCGTTATGCACTCTTTGTGCAACCTTATAAAGGTAAAGTTCAGTCTAGTGGCTGTATCCCAGACGGCTCCCCATAACACACAATTTCACTGCACATAATACTCTCACAATCAAGCAAGAGGAAGTAGCCATCGAATACTTCTCCTTACAGAGATAAGAGTCATCTTGCTGCCCTGGAGTCCTTTGGAAGGAAGAGTATTATATATCTTCCCCTTAACAGGTAAGAGGTTCTCTGGGAAGCAGCAACGGTGGCTCTTTTGCTGTTTCTTTCTTGAGGACTAGCAGATAAGCCTTCCTCATCTGACCATCTTTTCCAATCAAAGGTGAAAACAAGCTATGGATTTATTATTCTAGAATGTGCACTCAACAGTCATGGCTATGGTGCATGCTTACCTCATCAGAATCAACACTGACAGCATGAACAGTAACATCCCCATTTTTGTGGGCGTAAACATGAATGCTGCCATCGCCCTCTGAAGGTGCTGGGAGAGAGGAATCCCCTCTGGCCTGTGGTTCTTCCCTCCAGCAGGTCTGGTCCACAGTGTCTACTGTCTGTAGAGGGGCAGAGGTTGCCCGGTGAATCTTGGGGATGCTCTTTGTAAGGAAGGGAGACCGGCGAGGAGTCTGAGAAAATGATAAGCATTGAAAAGCAAGGATCACAGTCACAAATCTCCCATTTCTAAGGAGGGCTAAATCAAGACCCTTTGCCAGATGCAACTGCCATAGAGCACTGCTTCCTGGAAAGGCAGATGCAATCCAATTCCAAAATATACATGGCTCTGAGCAAGAGAAATAGCTATCAAGGCATACTCACTCGCTTCGGACTGGTAATTTGTTGGATAAGAGACACTCTGTCCTGAACAGGCTTGCTTAGAAATACTTCCTTTGGAAGCTGGCCAACTGGATTGTCTTCTACATGAGCAACTGAAAGGACAAGCAGAAGACATGTGACAACAATTCACCGCGGGTTTGCTCAGAATAAGTCCCACTGCTGTCAATGGGGCTGTGCTGTCAGGTAATCATATCTAGGCTACACAACCTCACCTGGGACTTGCATCAGAATAGATATGTAAAAGATTGCACCATCAGGTTCTTGAAGACCTCTACGGAAAATTGTCTGAAATGGGAATCGATTCCAGGACCAGAACAAGCCACACATTGATGCAAAAAGGACTGTATTCTATTGCTAACTCATTTCTTATTGAATTCAGGAAGGGAGAGCGGACAACTTCTGGAAGCAGGCCTGAGTGCAACAATGTTCTCCCCAACTTAGGATTCCCAGAAGCTGGTACGCTGCCTCCAACAGTGGAGGTAGAACATAGTGATCATGGCTAGTAGCATCTTTTAGTACAGGGTTAGCCAATGTGGTTCTCTCCAGATGTTGCTGTACTGCAACTCCCATCATTCCTGACCACTGTCCATGCTTGCTGGAGTTGATGGGAGAATATCTGGAAGGCAGCACATTGGCTACTCCTGTAGTAGATGTTTTGCTCACATCCACTCTCATCTGGCATAAGATGGTCTGTGTTGGATGAATTTTGTCCTGGGATGAAGAGCTTCCATTCCCCTATAGCCTCCCTTTTTTTCTTTTTTGCCTACCTGCAGCAGGATTCAAAGTGCCTTTTTGAATAGAGTCAAACGGCATCTTGGACCCATCAGAAGGAAACCTGAGCAAGAAGATCAGAGAAATGGTGACTGGTAAAAAGTGTGGAATGTAAGGAAGAAATGGTTTTGTTTCACTGGCTCAAAGGAGGATGCTGGACTACCAGACAAAAAACACAGTTACACTGACTATGACCATTGGAATGTGGCCAGATGCAGCAAATTCTGCATGTTGCAGTAAACAATGTGGGCAAACCAAAGAGAGTGACCACATATCAAGATACTCTTAATGAATGGTTAGCAGCCAAACGGCTTTCTTCGGGGAGCTTTCTGTATTTACACAGATATGCGGAAAATATCTACTTCAAAACCCCAACTGCAGTAACAGGAATACAGCCCAATGATGTTCCTTGGTCCCAGCACCATAGAGGTGTTTATCGGGATCTTGCCCAGTGCAGTATCACTGCCAACACTAAGTTCTGCAGGGGCACCTCTCTTCCTACTGAGCTATGTGCCAGACTCCAGAAGCTTCTCGAGAGCAGGGATGGTAAAAAGCTTATTTGGTTCAGTTGAAATCTCCTTGGAGTTGGCTAATGTTTGAGTATTCTAGTGCAGTGGAGTTGGGAGACCAGGGTTCAAATCCAAGCTCATGCATCTCACTGTGCAACTGCTGGCCAGTTACTCTCCTTCCCTCAACCTAACCTACCTCACAGGGTTGTTGTGAGGATAAAATGGGGAGCAGAGAACCACATGCACCACCTTGAACTCCTTAGAGGAAAGGTGAGATATAGATCGAGAACAACAGAGGTGCATCTAACTGTACAGCTTTTACCATATGAAGACACACCTCTTTACGCTGGTCTTTAAGAATTAAAAGTATTTTGTTTTGCAGGATCTCACCTCTTTTGCTGAACCCATACTGTTCTCTTCTGGTTGGAGCAGTTTTACTCTCTAAAATTGTTGGCTGTTTGGTTTTTATAACTGTTTATTATGTTGTTGTAACCTACCCTGGGACCTTGTGGTGAAGGGAAGGAATAATTCTTATAAATTGATAAAATATGCCAAATCTTAGCAAGTTATGGAAACACAATAGTCAGAAGCATACATGAACTATAGAACTGCTCACTCACAACGCACACATGCACACACACCATTTCTTTAACCTCTAAAGGAGAGGTATACCAGTTACAAAGAGAAGCAACGGAAGAAAGCTGGCATCCCACGAAGAACCACAGAAATACAATTCAGCAAACCATACCTAACATAATCGTAGAGGTCATGCCAATTTTCACCTTTCGGCACAGGAAATGTCATTTCTCGTGGCATGGGGGAGATGCCCTGCGTTGCTAATTTGGACTGATGAGCCTCAGAGGAGGTCACACCTAAAAGCACAGAAAGGATGAAGGAGGCAGAAGCATCATTTGTTAGAAAAACAGCTTGCAGAACTCCAGTATCGACCTCTAGAGAACAGTATTACACCAGCCCAATCCTATGGTATGCAAACTAGTCAGTATCCTATGACTGATTGGCAGACTGGGGTCTGTTTGTGCTATAAGTCTCAACAGCTGGAATTCATGACTTCCAAATAACAAGTGGGGCTCGGCATGAACATGTTGCAATCTGGAGTGTTCAGGGTTCCAAGCAACTGGACTGCATTCCCTGCTTTCTCATTTTTCTTCCACATTTCAGTTAGTATTCCATGCCCACTGAGGACGCTCCATCCTCACTGGTCTATAGCTGTAGGTGGTAATTCTTAATTTTGGATTTTGGGGTGAATACGAGGGGGACAAACTTGTGCCCAGTTACATAATGATCTTCGATTTTCTGATGTTGAAAAGGCTGTTCCATTTTGCTGCTAATGAGGCTGCTTGAAATGTGGATTTTTTTTGTTTTTCCATTTGATTTTCTTTCATGATGTTCTTTTTTGATATATTGTTACACTATGTTTGTGATGTTTGAAGAAATGTTGTGAGCTGTGTATTCCCCCCCCCACACACAAAGTAAAGTGGCATATAAACGATCTAACTAAATAAATGCCCTAGATATAAAGCGGCTTTAACCATGAGATCTTAGCAACTATTCATGCAACTATTAAGTCAGTGATCCTTTACGCAAGTTCCTTTTAATTCTCACCTGGATCAAAGAGCAAGTCACTAGTGAACAGGTTTTTCACCAGCAGGTTGGAGCAGAGCTTGACACTTTTGAGATGGCTATAGCTTCTGTTCAAGTACAGAGAGAGGATGTAGCGGAGGTCGAGAATCAGGCAGGTCCACCGCACACTGCTGGGAGCCAGGCCCACCAGGTCTAAAAGTCAGAAACACACCAAGGAAACACCTGAATTTATATAGACATTCAACACACTAAATCCCAAACCTTACAGGCAGAATGGGCTTCACGCATTAGCCCACTTCTAATTTTCAAATGCTTTGTGAGGAAGTGGCTATGATTGTGAGCTGGGATCTAGGTAAGTACCCAGTTCAAATCTCTCCTAGGTCCCAAACTTCCTGGGGACCCAATAATCTTTCAGTGCCTGCTTCCCATATAAGGTATAAGCATAATCATCATGGTCTACTTTAAAGGACCCTTAGAAGGATTGCTGTGGTGATATATAGGAAGCGCTGGGAACAGTCAAAGGTGCTATTATATAGACGCCCAAAGCAGTATTATTTTGGGGGTGGCAAAGCTTTGCTTCTTCATCCATAACCACGTTCTATTCTCCCTACCAGATCAATTCAGAGTCTAACCAAAAACCTAGATTCTCAAGGAACTTTTAATTTCAGCCACCAGCATCCTGAGGACCAAATCAGAAGGTATTCAGAGCTACCTAAGCTTGCTGAGCAAACAGGAATTTGGTTGGTCTTCTTTGCGTTTTACCTTGCTTGGAAGCCTTGGATGTGCTTTCATAGACTGACCCTCTGGCTGCCCCACAAATAAACGGGAACTGCAGCCATGTGGCAGTTGATTTGAACTCCTTAAAGAGATTGGAAAAGGAAATGCGGACCACCTGGCTGTCCTGGAAATAAAGAAATGCAGACTATTCACATGGGTTGGCTATTTCAATAGGAAGGCAGCAAACACCCAGTTCTTAAGAAACAATAAACCATGGCTGATGAAAGAAAACCTTCATTTTAAGCAAAGCTACATACTGTGACCCGTGTGGACCAATGATGGGAAGAAGGCAGTTCAGGCTCTACTGAGTGATCTCTTGATGATCAGCAAGGTGTTCTAACTCCCAACTGTTTGGCTCCACCTTCTCTGAACTGTGTTCATTCCAGCTTGGTATTATAGGAACAACAACAATCTAACTTAAAAACTAGTGTCTGAGTTTTTATGGCTTCCCTATCTTCCCGCCTCATTTCCTTTTTCCTTTTTTGTTATGCCTTTCTGACTGTCTGTTGGTGAGGAAGGTCTTTTATTGCCCCTCATTATAAGTAAGCTGCTCTGTGAGGCTTTTTGGCTGAAGAATGGAGTAAAAAAAAAAAGTTAAGATTAAACTAGCAGTGTGAAAGGTTTCACTCGAACTTTTCTGTATGCACAGCAACTGCTCTATAAGTGAGCCAGGAAGTGGGGAAGCTCTGCCGGGCAATGACTCTCCATTCGTGTCCCACAGTAATCTTATTCCAGAGGCCCTCTGAGATTACTTCAGGCCTATCTTTGACAACCGTAAGGACTAGAACTTTGCATTTCATAAAAGTGAAAGCTACAATGCTCACAAAGCCAAGTCTGCAAAGGTGAATGGATCAAGGCCTCCAAAGAGGATAGGCCCACTCGATGGTACCACAAAAGGTACTGTAAGAGATCTGCATTTCCTCAGACCACCTAACATTGCCATCTTGCTCATTTCATTACACAACTGGTCATTAATAAATAGGAGAGAAACTCTCACCCACCTCTGTGGCAACGTCCAAGTGCACCACGAAATATTTGGTCGGTGCCGGCTTGAAGAGGATGTAGAGGTAGCGACCGGTGAGACCCAATGACTGTGTACTGATCTTGGGGAGCTGGAGGTAGTTACTAGCAGGCACAGCACCACTGATGCGATACACCGTCCCTTTCAGAGTCTTGTCCTGGACACAGGAGGATAAAATAGATGGAACAGCTCAGGTAAAAGAAATCAAGTCACACAGAAGCTGGAGTACAAGGCTGGAGGAAACCAAGGATGTATGTAGCATAATGGCAATTAACACAGCATTAAGGAAATATCAGCAAAGGACTTATTGTTCCATTTCACTCTCCCTGATGTGATCCCCAAGTGGAGGGGAACAAGGATCCAGTTCAATTCCCAGAAAGCTCCAGGTTTGAGACCTCCAGCAGATGGAAGTCCTGACACATATGAAAATGTACATGGCTTTGGTGGGAAGGCATATGATGCAGAAACCTTCCTAAAGCCAAACAGGCCTGTGGCTGGCCCAGCCTTCTTCAACCTGGTGTAGTAGGTCAGTGCGCCTGGCTGTTGACCAGAAGGTTGGTGTTTCAAACCCACCCAGGGATGGCTGTGGGCAGGATTCCTGCACTACAGGGAGTTGGACTAGATTACCCTTGGGGTCCCTTCCAACTCTACAATTCAATGATTCTATGATTACAGAGGTTTTGGACTACTACTCTGTTGTCCAAATATCTGGAGGCAAAGGTGCCCTTATGCATGCTACTTCCCATTAGGGAAAGGCACGATAAATTTGTCGCTCTTTGGAAGGGAGAGCTCACATGCAGCAGTGGTGGCAGTGCCACACTTGGTCGTCTGCAGGCTATTCCCACTCACCACAGGCGACCAGCTGAGTGTTAATACCAAGGCTACGTTTAACTACCCAAGAAAGGATCAGGAACTTCTGACACTACCATAAAGGTTGTCACATCGCCCTCCTTCGTGGACCTTTTCCATTCCTCAACTTTAAAGTGCTTGAAGATGTTTAGATAGGGATGCTGCCACACTGTAGAGAAAACAGATCAGTTAACTCACAAACAATGTAATTCCTGCTATTGAAATTACTTCTCTCTCTTTACACAAAGCAGGATTATCGCTATGCTATCTTCTAAAATTAGAATTAGCCTCCTAAACAGAAGGACAGCTATGAGTCCCAGTGGGGGGGGGGTGCATTTTTGCTAAAATGATCTCATTCTCTCAATTTTCCCACTGTTAAAGATAATCAGTAGAAATGCTATCTTACTTTCCAACATCAAAAAATGAAGAAAAAGAAATAAAAACTTAGCCAAGGTATATGTGAGAAGGTCCAATGCCTAAATAATGACCTTACTTTTAGTAAGGGGGTGGGGGTTGATTCTTGTTTTGTTCTATGTGACTTTTTGGGATTAACACTTTTAGTATATTCTGTTTTCCCAGATTGTATTTTACTTTTTCTGTTAAGGCACTGTAAGTCCTACTGAGCATTTAACTACTGCATATCAGACAGATATCTAACAGGTGAAGACCCCCCTTCATACCAAAAAACTTCACCTGTTGAATTTCTACCTGTCATGTAGCTGCAAAATGCCTGTAACAAGCATAGATGCAAACTATTTTCCCTAGCAGTATTCTTGTGCACTGAGCTGCATGGCAGACAGAAATATATGAAGAATAGTTAGCAGTGCCTGTCATGCACTGTTAAATGTACAGGAGCTCAACCCAACTAGGAAAAACAATAATGTATCTCAAACAATTAAAGGTAAAACGTAAAGGACCCCTGGACAGTTAAGTCCAGTCAAAGGCGACTATGGAGTTGCGGCACTCATCTCGCTTTCAGGTCAAGGGAGCTGGTGTTTATCCACAGACAGCTTTCCAGGTCACGTGGCCAGCATGACTAAACCGCTTCTGGTGCAATGGAACACCTTGACGGAAACCAGAGCTCATGGAAACGCCGTTTACCTTCCCGCCACAGCGGTACCTATTTATCTACTTGAACTGATGTGCTTTCAACTGCTAGATTGGCAGGAACTGGGACAGAGCAACAGGAGCTCACCCCATTGCAGGGAAGCTCAGTGGTTTAGCATCCCATATCTCAAACAATACTGCAGAAGCAATCCAACAAGTGGGGAGGCAGGAATGGGGAAGGGGGAGAGAATAAGCCTGTTGTGACTCATGCCCATCATACTATATATAAAAAATTTCCCCTAGCACAGCTCCTGTGCATTTTAACACCAGTATGTGAGACAGAAATCTGATAGCTGGACTTTGTTTAATCAGGGATGGTAGAAATCACCACCAGTTGCATTTAATTCATCTTGTGCAGCTGTTTAATACAATATTGCATAAGCAGAGTTCCTGTGCATCCCAAGCGTCCTTCCTCTTGGGGAGGATGGAAGGCTGGACGTCTGGCAGCTATACGTCTGCTCAATACAATACATGCGACTTACTCATTCACTTATTCATTAATTGCCCTGTAACACAGCTCTCTGAGCAACGTAACAAGAAATGTTTAAACACAACTTGCAAAATGTTAAAAAGACCCCCCCCCCCAAAAAAAAACACCCCTCCCCGATTACGGTCCAAACATCACAACTAAAAAGATCCAAAACATCACAGACTATTTCATATATATACTGTATATGTATATCTACCCTGGGCTCCTCCTGGGGAGGAAAGACAGGATATAAATCCAAATAAACACACACACACACAGCAACTCATCTAGTCCTCCAGGAAGCCAAAATCATCTCATAAGCACTAAAAACATAAGAACTGCGTCCAGTCACGGCTGCCTACAGGCAGAAATCCAGCAGGCGAGGAGATGCGTCTCCCCTCATCACAGAGAGGAGCGAAAAGGCTATACCTGGCGAATTTCTGCCTGTCCTGTCATGCTGCTGCTGCTGCTGCTTTGAAAGCGCAGGAGCCCTGTCAGGAAACAGCAACAGCAGCAGCTCCACGGGTTTTCTTTGTCTCGGAATTGGTGGGGCTGTGGGGGACTCTTCCCTCTCCCGCCCCGTGGATGCTCAGACTCCGAGGAGCCTCCAAACCAGCCCCGCCTGGCCCTGCTGGGGTCCTAGTGCCCCTCATTTCCCCAGAGCCCAATACCCGCCCTGGCTCCCCTGCCCTCCCGCTCCCCTCGGCGGGCACCTCTGGCCATGGCTGCCCCGCTCTCTCTGCGGCTCCGCTTCAAGCCCGTTCTCCCTTCCCGCCGCTGCCCGAGAGGAGCGCGCCCAGCCTCCCGAAACCATAGAGTCGCCTCGGGCGGACTGCGGAGGATGGAGAAAAAGCCTACTATTCCGCTAGGGCTAGAGCGGCCGCCCCATCTCCCTTGGATCACAGAGTTCATGCAGAGAGTGACAAGCGACGCTCTCGCTTCCGATTTCCGTCTGGGCGTTCGAGAAAGCACTTCGCGCGCTCTCAATAAGGTGCCGTGGCCTCTCTGCAACCATCGTATCTCTATGGTGGGCCTGTTCCCATCAGTTCTATTTGCGCAGAAGAATCTATAAACCGCTTGCCCGTAATGTATTAAAACCCTCAGAAAAGCAATAGGAGACGCAACATGTAGAACTCCATTGTTATGTCAACTCCAGGCAAAAGGAGCAAACTAATTTAATTATATGGGCAAAGAGAATGCAGCCGCTTGTGTTGGGTTGATTTCGCTTGGGGAGAAAAGCTGTTTTTGTGTTTGTGTGTGTGTGTGTGTGTGTTTATTTAGGGCACTTTATATCACGCTTTCTGGTGCTAAAATCAAACTCAAGCTGCTTACGATGAAAATATAAACCACCAAGAGCAATCCCTAACTAAATGTTTTAAATAGTTTAGATAATGGGGTGTTTTATTTCGTTACTGTAGCAACTTCAGGGTGAATACTGGCGCCTATTTTTCTAGAAAAATAGCACTGTACACACCCATGTCAAAACCATAAATGAGAACTATCAGCTCACTGTGGGGAGGCAAATCCAGTGCTTTTTTTCTAGGGGGACGCATACCCCTAAAGATTTTGTGAATCTTTGGCCTCATTGAGGGGCAGTATTTCAATATGAGTAGGAAAATGAGAGTACCCCTAAACATTTTTAAAGAAAAAAGCACTGGTCAAATCCATATGACTTTCTTTAGGTCAGGCTTTGTGACAGGTCTTTTAGGAAAATAAGAAGCTATCCTAACACCAGTTTGTTCCCACCTAGCTCAGTATTGTCTACACTGGCTGAAAGCTGCTCTTGAGAGTTTCAGAAGGGGCTTTCTCAGCCCTACTGGGAGATGCAAGAGATGGAACACCCAGGACCTTCTGCATGCAAAGCAGCCGCTCCAACAGACCAGCAGTCCTTTCTTTCCTTCACAGGCACACGGAATTGTTATGCATGGAATAAGGGATGTGTTTTCTGCTCCGTTCGGATTGCTACGCAAACTGTGTTTTTGCACAAAGGGTAAAGTCCACCAAGGTCACAAAGTAATTTCAGTCTGGCCATTTTGGCTGCAAATGTTAAAGGACTGGAAGAAGATTCGGTAAGTTTCTTGTTGCAGATTCTCTTATTAAGCAGGAGACACTTCTTTGCACTTTATTTTTTTTAAATGGTTTGTTTGTTTTTTAAAGTATGACTTTCCCATTTTTCCAATCTGCCCTACGGACCAGAGATCTGTCCTTTTTTTCTTTTCTTTTCTTCTTTTTGCAGCCAATACTGCAGTGGCAGAGATGCAGTATTTAACTAGGAACTGATTTGCACATTCCTTTGTTTTTGCAGGCATGGATCATGACAACATAGAAAAGCTGGCGGCAGAGCTGCATAAAAAGGGGAGTTCCTGGAGCCCTTTCCAGGTGGCAGCAAGCACCAGCTTGGTCCTTTATTTTGCCTGGGCCGGATCTCTTGCCCTAGGCTTGCACAAAGTGTATTTACAGGTATCAGGGGTTACCACCGTTTTAAAATGTTAGAGAGCAGAGCAAAGGGCACAGGAGAAGCTCCAGGTCTGTGGAGGGTATGGGCAATAAGTAACTTACCACAAGGGGGCAGCAGAGCACACATCTAAAGGGTATTGGATGATTGTGAGAAAGGGAATAATTAGGTGGGGTTTGGCCAAGGGCTGGGGACGAAGGTCGGCGGTTCAAATCCCCGTGAGGGGGTGAGCGCCCGTTGCTCGGTCCCTGCTCCTGCCAACCTAGCAGTTCGAAAGCACGTCAAAGTGCAAGTAGATAAATAGGTACCGCTCCGGCGGGAAGGTAAATAGCGTTTCCGTGCACTGCTCTGGTTCGCCATAAGCAGCTTAGTCATGCTGGCCACATGACCCGGAAGCTGGACGCCGGCTCCCTCGGCCAATAAAGTGAGATGAGCGCCACAACCTCAGAGTCGGCCACGACTGGACCTAATGGTCAGGGGTCCCTTTACCTGGCCAAGGGCAGACTGAGGTTGGCTGGGCTGTGCATGATCCTCCATGGCCTAGTGACTAGATACAAATAAATTAATCTACAGGGAGCACCCCACCCTATCTCGCTCTCTGGTTTTATTATCTCCCCTTTTACATATTTTTTTTGAGACTGGCCCTGGTAACCCTTACCAAAGGGATGGCAGACAAATTCATTCAATGAATGAATGAATGATGCATCTTAGGGGAGGACCAACTCTCAGCAGTAGAGCACATGCTTTTCCTGCACAGGGTCCCAGGCTGAACCTTTGGCATCTCCAGGTAGGAGTGGAAATGTCCCTTGCTTGAAATAGTGTATACCCTCCAACATTTCTCTTATGAAAATAGGGATGTCCCATTCCATAACGATAATTTTGCTATTTATACCCCACACATCTGACTTGGTTGCCCCAGCTACTCTGGGCAGCTTCCAACATATATAAAAACACAATAAAACATTAAAAAAACCTTTCCTATGCAGAATTGCCTTCAGATGGCTTGCGGGGTCAGAGAACGCCATACCCTCAAACATTTCTCTGATGAAAAGAGGGATGTCCTAAGGAAAAGCGGGATATTCTGGGATCAAACCAGAAACTGAGACGGCTTCTCCAAATCAGGAAAATGGGGAAACTTGGAGGGTCTGTCACTGAGCTAGATGAACCGGCGGTTTCATGTGGTATAAGGCAGCTTCCCATGTTCCTAATATCCATGCCTTTTGCAAAACTCACCAGCTTCTTTCCTTTTTAATCCAGGTGCCATATGTACCCTCCAGTGTCAAGCAAGTGAGGAATATGATGTCGCTGCTGCAGGGGCGCTCTGGGAAGCTGGTGGATTTAGGATCGGGTGATGGCAGAATTGTAAGCACGTCAAAATGCACCCGAGGGTGGGGTTGCCAAGGCCGTTGGTGCACGGCAAGGATCAGCATCTGCCTGCAACACTCACTGCTCGGTTGTGATTGAGATAAACGAGGAATAAATGGCCTTTTGTTGATTGGGTGGGGGCTGTTTAATTACAGGGATGTTTTCTGTTCTAACACTGAGCTATATACGCGCTTCCTCATATTTAACACCAGAAATCCTACCCTTTGCGGCTGTACATTGTTTCAGGGGCTAATCCGCACCGTACATTTAAAACATGCTTATACCGCTTTCACAATTCCTGGGAATTAAATTCTGCTAATTTCACATTATTATTATTATTATTATTATTATTATTATTATTATTATTATTATTTTGTACCCTGCCCATCTGACTGGGTTGCCCCAGCCACTCTGGGCAGCTTCTAACATATACAAAACATAATAAATCATTAAAAAGCTTTCCCCTTCAGATGTTTTCTAAAGGTTGTATAGTTACTTATCTCTTTGACATCTGATGGGAGGGCGTTCCACAGGGCAGGCGCCACTACCAAGAAGGCCCTCTGCCTCGTTTCCTGTAACTTCATTTATTGCAGTGAGGTAACCACCTGAACGCCCTCGGTGCTGGATCTCAGTGTTCAGGCTGAACGATGGGAGTGGAGACGCTCCTTCAGGTATACTGGACGGAGGCTGTTTAGGGCTTTAAAGGTCAGCACCAGCACTTTGAATTGTGCTCAGAAATGTACAAGGAGCCATTGTAGGTCTTTCAGGACCGGTGTTATATGGTCCTGGCAGTTGCAGTTCCCAGCAAACTATATTTCCCAGGATTCCCCATAACCATTAAAACAATAAAAGAGGGTTTAAATGTGTGCAGATGTGACCTGTGCCATGAAACTAGCACAGCATTAGGCAACAGACAATGTGCCTGATTCTAGCTGCACTTCCAGGTGCTGGAGGCTTACAAACAAGGCTTCAGGCCGACTGTTGGCTATGAGCTCAATCCATGGCTTTTACAACTGTCCAACTTTCGTGCCTGGAGGGCTGGGTGCTATGGAAAGGTTTTCTTCCGGCGAGAAGACCTTTGGAAGGTAAGCTCTTCCCACACGGAGGCAAGAAGCTAGGCCTATAAGGAGCAAAGTGCAAGAAGGAGCTGTCTGCAGTAGCCATCTCAGGTGCATCTTAAGTGAAGCTCAGGAGAAGCAAACGCTAGCAGCAAGGCTTCCCCTAAGTTTTGCAACTTCCAGATATTGTTGGGCCCCCAGCTGCTATGAGCACCAGCAGCATGGCCAGAAGCCCGGGGTTGATGGGAGTTGTAGTCTAACAACACCTGATGATGGGAGATGTAGTTCAACACCAACCAACCCACACTGGTTGCTCCTGCTATATAGTTTAGCTATGTGTTGTGAAGCAGTGTTTCCTTGTGTTTGTCCCAAATCTCCCAAGGTTCAGCATCACTGTTTGGCCCCAGGTTCTTTTAAGAGAGCGAGTTCCGTAGCTGAACTATGTGCTGCAATATCTGAGACCATGGGACTGTGCTTTGCCTCCCAAAGCACAGTGGGAAATAGTCCAGTCCAGAATAGAAAACAACCATTGAACCATCTCTCTTGACTAATTGTCTGCTGGTGCTGGTGCTGTTGTTTTAAGGCAGATCTCTCTGACTGCAACAATGTCACTGTGTTCCTGGCTCCCAGCTTGGTGAGTAGTTTTCAGATAAGCTTGTCTCTGTTACCTTAGCAAAACCAAGGATGGTCAGTGCAATGCCCAGGCTTCACGATATCTAATAGACTAATGCCTTCAATTAACTGGCAGGAGTATTATGCATTCAGTCTTATGAACCTGCCCCGGTCTTAAAATTCGGTCTAAAACCCTATTTCTTGGGCTCACCTCAGTATCCATTAGGCTGGTGAGTACTGGAGACAGGGCCTTATTCGTTGTGGTCCCATTTCCTTGGCACTCTCGCCAAAAGAACTGCATATGACCCAATCTTTCTTAAGTTGTAAAGGTCTGTTTAAAAACAAATCGCATTCTATTAAAAAGTGTGTTGGGTTTTGAACGCCTGCTGTTTATCCTTTCTATAATTAGGTGTTTGCTGTCTTGCATTTATTAATTACCTTCTGTAAGCTGCCCTGAGAGGGCTGCATCTGAAAGGCAGCATAGAAGCATTTTAGATGGATAAATTCCTTGTCACAGCCAACAAGTGGAAAACATCTTCTGCAAAACACTTGCTCTCATTTTCCCCAGCAGAAGGAATTGTCCCCATCTGCTTCGTACTGTCCAGCCTCTGTCCTAGAAATCAGTCGAGACATAGAAATGAAAACCTTATACTAACAGTGGAGGCAGCTCCATTTGAGCAAAAGGGGCACAGCCTACCAGACTGTGTGTGCCTGCATCTGCCTACTTCACTTGCAACCAGCCTGGGGAGTCAGTTTCCTCCTCCTTAGTCCCTATATAACTCAACAGGATAACTAGAATTAGTTTTCTGCACCTGCTTGCTAAGGTGTGCTTGGTTTTTTTTAAAATCATACTCCTGTACTGACAGCCAAAGGGGATTTAACAATCTTCACCACATACTGATTTAGTTGTTTTGGCAGTGTCTTTCCTTTTAACACTGTCTGCTGGCTTTCCTTTGTGGGACCAGGTGGCAACAACTGAGTCCACCCGTTGCTAAAGAATGACGATTGCCCTAGAAGCGCCCAGCAGTCTTGCTGAGACATCACAACTGTGTGCTCTATTTACACTGCTGCTGTGTAGTCACCACAGCCAGATGCTGAGCTTGCCAGCTTCCCCCACCCCAACTGCAAAGTCAGCCGAAAGCAAATAATGTTGCTTCATTTCTGCAGAGGCTGCAGTTTGAAATTCACTATTCCCAAGTCACCTTATGCTAGATGCTGGTCAGTTAAGAGAGAAATTGGCCCAGTCTTCTCTTTGCAGCTTCCAGGAGTCACCTTGAAGGGTTTCCTTTAATTGATTTAAGTCCGGAATTACCAAACTGAATTCTTTCTGAAGGACCATCTGGCCCTGTATGCGTCGTCGGGGGGTGTTTTATACATAACCCTGCCTCTGCAGACTATCATAGGGTATGCAGACTGAAAACAGGTCTTTTTCGCTGTTCCCACTGCTGCACAGGAAGAGACATCATCAATTTGCTTCAGACACCTTGTAAAAACACTCAGATATTTCAAGCTCCAGTTAGGCAGTTATCAGATGGTGTTTTAGCTCAAGAAGAGGCTGATCTATTCACTCATTTTATATTAAAACCAAAACATTATGGCCCTGTGTCTCCTCCCATGTCCCTAATAGATGCTGACTGCCTTGCTTCGATGAATCTTCTATGTTAGGCAATGGTAGAGGAACATAAACTCATCGCATACGCCACATGAATCAAAGGAGCAGTTACGGCCAAAATTCATAGAAATAGAACAATTTTCCTGTAGGTTTTTTTTTTTTAGTTAATGCAACAAATGATTATGCTTCAGTCTGAAGTTCTATACAGCCCAGTGGTGGCTGGTCCCCTTTGGAAATGGTAGGGCAGAAAGCAGAAAGACCAGCAGTAAGTGGTGCCAGAGCCAAGGACAGGCAGGGCCAGTTCAGGGCAAATCCACACCATACTTTTACAGCATTTTCAATACACATTTAAAGCATGTGACTCCCCCCCACAAGGAATCCTAGGAACTATGGTTTCACCTGCACAGAGCTGCAGTTCCCAGCACCCTTAAACTACAGTAGTTCCCAGGATTCTTTGGAGGATGTGTGTTGAGTGTTCTTACATATGCATTGAATGTGCCTTCATTGTATGGTGTGGACCTGCCCTAATTCTTGTTTCGTCCCTATCCTCTTCCCTGCTGCATTCTACAAAGGCAACCCTGAGACTAAGGGGCAGAAAAGGGATAGGCAGTTCAATTCCTGGACTGATAGTTAAGCAAGGAGGCATGAAGATGGGGGCTGAGGGCAGGTGGAGGTTGGTGGGACTTTGCCCTAATAGACCAACTTCTGCTGATAGAGAAGCACTTTTGCCCTCCCCAAGGCTTTTTGTCCGAGATTCATTGTCTGTCAAATCTTGCTGCTGTCAACGTCATTGTAAAGCAGGCCTCTCTCAGCAGGTCCCGCTCCTGGAGAGGAAACTGCTTTCAGAACTCCCTGATGGGGCCTGTGTGGTGGCCGCCCGCTTCCCTTTCCTCAACTGGACTCCTACCAGCATTGCTGGAGACAGCTTAGAAACAGCCTGGGCCTATAACATCACGGCAGTACGGCAAGCAGGCAGGCAGATGCCCAGCCAAAGGCTAAACCTGCTCCATAAAACTCAGCTGTGCAGGGAAAATGGAAAGGATGCATGAAATCAACAACAGTGCCTTTTCTTTTGCTAGTAGTTGTCTTAACTAGTGGGGGGGGGGGAGTTATTGGTTTGTGTTTGCTTTTGCTTTACTATATATTTTGTATTCTTGTTTTATATTTTTTCTGTTGTGAACCACCCTGGGATCTTCAGATGAAGGGCGGTATACAAATTTTAATGATGATGATGATGATAGGTTAATCATGGTCCCGCAGTTCAGATGAGAGGGCCAGTAAAAGAAATTGCCATAAATAACCACACACTTATGCCAAATGCAACACCACGACACTAGCAGTAATCCTTTTTTTCTGTCTCCCCACCCCAACCTGCAAATAATGGCTTTATCACCTTAAGGGGCTGGTGGGTACTTGCAGATACCAGTGGACGAATCTACCCACATTTTTTATTTCAGTTTATCCTTTTTTCCCAGTCTTAAGTTCAGTTTACCACATTGGTTTGCAATTTGTTTCCCTTAAAACCAGGCAGATGGCCTTCTCGGTAGTGGCGCCCGCCCTGTGGAATGCCCTCCCATTAGATGTCAAGGAAATAAACAACTATCTGACTTTTAGAAGACATCTGAAGGCAGCCCTGTATAGGGTTTTTTAATGTTTGATGCCTTACTGTGTCTTAATTTGTTGTAAACCATCCAGTTTGAGTGCACATTTTAATATGCCCATTTTTCAAACAACTTCCCACTTGTTTAAATGTTTAAATGCTACTTTCACTGGCATATACATATTTTTACACAATTTCCTCTAACATGCATGATCTTTTGGTATGAGAACTGCGTTGCAAATTTCAAAGATAAGCTGATTTTTAGTTTGCTTAATCATTCTGGGAAGTATGAGTTAGGGTGATTCCCACTGAAATGTGAACCCACCCAAGTTTCTACACTTTACACCTTTACAAACCCAAGTAAAGATGAAGAAATTATCCTGGGAAGTATGTAGGCATCATAAGGAACAAAAAAATATTAATGTGACTACGGAAAAAAGAAATTGGCATGATTTAGGGAAGTATCCAACTAATGTGTCCAGTCAGTGCAATTTCTACCTGCGCAATGGAACATCCTTCCTCTGCTCCCCCTGTGTGCCCCATATCCTCCCCAAATTTGTTCCAGAAGGTTGGGGGAAACCCCATCATAGATTTAGGGAGCACACAGAGTGCGGGGATGCACAAGCAGAAGCCTTTGCACTGATGGAATGAGTTATTTAACACTACAGTACTTTGGATATAAGATTCCCCAAGATTATTGATTTGGTGTCAGTTAAGTCTTCATATTTAAAAATCATCTTTTCCATGAAGTTTGAAATAAGTCATCATGCCAGGTTTCTGCCAGGAGGAGGGAGAGTGAGAAGTCAGGGTGTCCATAAATCTGTATTTTGGGAGAAAAGAATCTCTGACCCAAATTGTGTGTTGTGGGGTCAGTCAGTGCATAGGGGTTCCTACGAAAACCAAGGTCCATGGGTTAAAGTTAAAAACTAAGCATAAGCCCAACTGAATGGCTGAGGAACAGTCTAGAAGGCTGAGGCTGCTGTCAAGAGATGCTAGATTTATTTTGTTGGTGCAGTGCAGAGAGATGTATGTAATGTTTTCTGATTTCTTGAACCATGATTAAAAGATGAACATCAGGCTGCAAGCTTGTGCGTTCCCCGCTTTTCAGTTTTCATGATTTAGCATGCCATCTGCAGAGGGAAATATTAACCATAGTTACCTTTAAACAGATTTTACAAACCAGCCTCAAATCCCCAATATCGAACTCAGCTTTGTTAAAGCTAGCCATAAGGAGTGTTGACCTCAGTGCAGACTGCAACACTGCAGGACAGATGGGCAGAAGATAGATTGGAATCTCCTGGTGGTTATTTGCAGTAGATTGGAAAGGGTTTCTCCCTCCTTAGAGTTCAACACCAGCAAGTAGAATTGGTAGGACAAACCTGTGTATTAATTGGTTGCCGGTCTTTGCACAGCTGTACTGGCAACTTTTAAGCTTGCATTTTAGAATCCTTACTGTAGAGTAACTCAGACTGCAATATATAGCTCTGTATATATCAGGGGCTACCAGTAAGGATATTCAGAAATTTGAGAAAGTTCCATAGGCACCAGGTTTGTGGCATAACACAAAAGGTCTGCCACATTTAAAAGAGCAGAATAAAGAGACAAGAACATAGAACAGGGCAGGAATATTTACCAAGATCTTTTCCAGATACCATAGGAGGTACTGGTGGGCACACTGTCACATACAGGGCCAGGTTGGCAGTCCCTGGTATTTATGCTGTATGGCTTCCTGGGTAAAACAGGTAATTGGCACCATTATTTTGCACCTGACTTTGAAACTGGGGTGGGGCAGGAGTGTGTGTGGGAGAGAAGAGCGAATGCACAAACCCATGAGGCAGTCCTGATCTCTTGACCACAAAACTGCATATGGAGATGTCACACTTTCCCCAACGCTTTAAGCCAAAACCAACTCATCTCCAGTTTACTTTATTTTTCTCGTTTTCAGTTACAGCAAAACAGAGGACAGAAATGTATTAGTAATACCCAGCTTCTGACAGAGACACTGCCACAACATAGCTTTCGTACCACATTTGCTGATCACCAACATGCATACAGTGATCTGAAAATCTCTTTTTTTTCGCAGATAGGAATGAATCTTCACTATAAAATAACAGTGACCACTACATTAGCTTTGCCGTCCGTGCATTCAGAATGTCTATTTCAGCAACTCAGGCTTTTTAAGTGCCGCAAAAAATGATTAGTCATCACACTGGAACCAGTTCAGCCCCCGTCGATGCTGATAGCCATCCTTTGCAGGAGGGGGAATTTTAGCAGCTCCTGTAAATCTAATAAGGTACTATTTGCAAAATCTCTGTAAAATGCCCTTAATGTAGCCTTTGCAATAGGCTGTGCAAAATGGTTTACTATCTACATTATTAATATTAATTATTTTTGCATTGAGAAGGTCACAGTATAGTGGTTTAAATAACTAGCACAATAAATAATAAATAATTATTATTATAAAGTGGAAAGAGGAGGACTCTAGTTAAACAGCATCAAAGACAGCAGCTAGGTGTATGGCACTTCAGTTCAACGTACTGAGGGCATATCTACACTTCCTCTTGTCCTAATACTTTCCTCCGGGGTAAACTGCTCTTTAGTGCTCAATCTGGGTTTTCTCCAGGTTGATGTTTGGTCCGATTTAGCACTAAAGAGCTGGTTTTCCCTGGGAAAGGAGCAGGGGGGAACTGCTTGGACCTGTGCTTTTTAGGCATAGGACAAGCAGAAGTGCAGATGAGCCTTGAGTATCTTCACATATTAAAATAGGGATCAGCACCTGGTGGCCCAGAGACTAAACCCCCTCCCTCGGCAAGAGTTACCATCAGGCCCTTGGAGGAAGCAAAGGGGAAATATGTACATGGGAATTGGGGTGAGGTCTATGAAGTTTTCCTTTGCTGGCAATACCATTTGGGACTGGGGTGAGACCCTCCATCCTTTCCTCAAAATGGCTCAAGAACTAGCTACTAATCAGGGCATCAGGATGGTCTGGTCTCTCACACACCTGTACAAACCCAAACTGCCAATTCTGCAGGAAATCAGGAGTCAAATGATGCAATCCTTGTGCCATTTCAATGCTTTTGAGTTGCAAAATGCAAAAAGGAACCAAGTTGAAACAAGAGCACTCCTTTTTTACCAACACACTTCCCTCCGTCCCATCACCTTGACAAAGTACAACACTCATGCCTCAAAACAATGGAAGAAGCCAAACATTTAATAACCAGATTCAACAGTGGCTGGTGATCTTAAAATGAAGGCTTTGTTCCATGTGAACTTGAATGTGCTGCCCACCATGGCATATAGAGTCTCAATCTTAGCTGGCATTTTACAAAAACCTAAAGGTCCTAGTCCTCATATCTGCAAATAGTAAAAATGCAGATGCATATTTTAAAAGATAAGGTATGGAAGGGGAATCTGATCAGAACTTCTGGTCAAAAAAGGTTTTCTACACAATCCCTTTCTATGATCCCTAGTCCCTCATACCTTTTCCCTTTCATATCTCCTCCCATTAGTTTCCAGCCTTTTGCCAACATTGAAGGGCAAAAAAAGTTAATTTAAGTTTCTGTAAATTTACCCAGGATGGATAACCTAAGTTTTCTCTGGTGCAGAGTTCAGGTTTTTGATAAGTACATAGCCCTGTTCTAAGGTTAATAAGAAAAACATCAGAGCCCTTCTGGGTCAGACCAAAGGTCCATCTCTTCCTTCTTCCTACAGTGGCCAACCAAATACCTCACAGACCTGCAAGGCTTTGAAGGCAATAATAGCACACCACCTCTGAATGTGTAGGTTATCATTATTTCAATTTACCTACCTTTCTTCATATAGCACTAACAGCTGCTGAAGTCATTGATGTACTTTCCATGAATGCATCTAAGTTCCTTTTAAAGACATCTAAGCAGTGACCCTCACCACATTAATATGGCACTGTATTCTATGAGTTAATTGTATGGAGAAGTACTTCTGCTTATCTGCCCTGAACCTCCCACAAATCAACTTTGAGGGATGAACTCAAATTCTAGTACTGAGAGTAAGAACAGCTGCTTTTTAAAGGTTTATCCTACCTTGCCTTCTGTTCACAAACACACCTGTTCATGTGGATAGCCGTGTTGATCTGTCATAGTCATAATAAATAACAAGATGAAAGATGAAAAAATATTTTTAAATAATTCCATTGGCAACTTTAAGATCAACTAAATATAAGCTATGGTGTATATATATACATACTTCTGCTTCAGAGTACCTGACGAAGTGTGTATTACACATGAAAGCTCATACCTTGAAAGCTTATATTTAGTTGATCTTAAAGGTGCCACTGGAATTATTAAAAAGATTTTTTCATCTTGTAATTTCTTACACCTGTTCATGATAGCATCTTAAGCTCCACCCCCAGCTCAGAAATGTGCTTCTGTCATGTGGTTAGAATAGCTCCTTAACCTTCTATTAACCCCAATAACAGAAGAGTATGGTTGCAAGGCAAATTCACCCAGACCCAGCAAGGAGATTGCCTCAGATCACTTGCAAATGCAATGGCTTAGTCTAGCGAAACAGTCTCTGG